TTTTTTTTTTTTTTTTTTTCAATCGATACTTAAAAGTTTGTACTTGTTGTTTCACCTTTCTTCGTCTCCTTTTATATTTATAATTTTAAGCCCGTTGCTTCACTTTTGCATCGTTGTCCAGTCTAGACTTGGGCCCGTTTTCAGTTCCTGGCTGTGCACCTGGGGTACATACTCAATCCATGCTAGGGCCCTGAAAAAGTGCTAGGTTGGATTTGGATGCTTGAAGGACAGAACTCCCTTGCTTCTGGTCTTGGGGCACCGGATACCCGCCATCTTTCACACCTTACTTATTGATAATCTCTCTCTTCTTCTCCTTTCTCCTTTTACTTTCACTCGGACCCAATTTTCTATGCTCACGCTGCTAAAGAATCCGGAAACCGCGTGTGTAGCTTGTCGGCGCCTCAGAAGCTGACATTAGAGAATTAGGGGAAAGGCAGAAGAGCCAGGACTCTATCACTGTTGTTTTATTTCTCCACGAGGGCTGTGAGCAACAGGGTCAAATCGTTTCTCACAGAAAAGGAGGAAGGAAGGAGGATTTCTCTTGTAAACCGACTGGTCCGTGTGGTCCTTTGAGGAACAATATGCCTCCAGCCAGTTCGTCGTTTACGGCATTGAATTTGCCAGAAACATTTTCTCTCCCACAATGCATGGAATATTTTACCCTCACCGCTGGTCCCAATACCGATCTCTGGAGGAAGCCCCCAAATGGCGACACGTCCACAGCGCCCATTGTATTCACGTCATTGCGAAATCCATTTATACTGGCGGAAGTGACTGTTAGTGCGGACTGGGAAATGGAATGGGATCAGGGTGGTCTGGTGATTTTTGCCGGAGCCGCACCGCAGTCCTGCTCGTCCGAAAGCGTCCCATTGGATTCCGCAACGCGATCGAGTCGCTCGGGATATCCCCAGATCGCACGACCGTGCAAATGGGTCAAGGCGGGTATGGAGTTTAGCTCGGGCACCCTCAACGCCTCTTCGGTCAGTGCAACTGCGGATGGAGCCGATTGGTGTCTTTCACCGCTCAGCCTCCCTGACAGCGGGCCATCAACCGTGCAGTCGCTGCGTATCAAATTAGAGCGGATCGGCAACTCCCTCTGGATCTGGTACCAGATCCCATCCGCCCTTCCCTATGCCCGGACGCCGAGCGCAGTGAGCAGCACGTGGAAGAAGCTACGGGAGGTGACATGGTTCTTCTACGGCGTTGAAGACAAGTTTATCCATGTTGGAGTTTACGCGAGTCGGCCGAATAACATATCTCGCAACAGCACCATGTGGGAGATGATGAACGGTCCGATCTTGAGCGAGTCTGCAGTCGGCTCTCGGGACTCTTTGGTGGTTGAGTTCGAAGATTTAGAGATATACTAACGACGCCTGACCCTTTACTCCCGATAATATACCATCTGTATTTCTCCCTTTGCAATTTAATCAACGCAGCCACGACCCATGAATGGCTTATGAACTCACGACTCTATGTTTTGTGCCGCTGGTTGAGCCCAACATGTTGAGTCTCTCTCTCTCTCTCTCTTTTTTTTTTTTTCATTTCTCCGATTTACGATAATTGCCTTGAGGATACGGTGTCAGGCATACAGAGGAGCATGATGAGCGTACCGGTGTTTTCCTTTCATTCTGTTCTTTTTTTTTTTTCTTTCTTTTTTCGAGACACTTAATTCAGCGTTTTGATGTATAACGTTCCCTTTGAGATTGAATTCAAAACCTCGTCTTGATCATTTAATATCAACTTGATTGGACACCGACAATCCTGACGACAGACCCGTTACCCCTGGGGATGAGTCAAAGCAAGGATCCGTGACAAAAGATCATGGACCATAGCTAATTTGTTGAATATGCATGATCTGCAGCGGGGTTCACGAGATAGCATTGATCCTCGCTGGAAAATAACAATTTGGGGCCAGGGTGAGGCAAAGGGCAGGAAAGTTCAGTCGTTTATACTTCGGCCGACGATCACTGGGCACTAAACCCAAGTGAGTAGCCAGCGCAGAAGGATAAAGTTACGTCCATTGAAAAACATCATCCTCGGAATAGAGTTGGTTAGGCTGCAATGGGACTAGACGGAGCTCACATCACTGCATTGTCACGGGGTAAGGGTATATCATAAATCCAATGCCTCTTGGGAAATTGCTACGACGGGTGGAAAAGCAGAGGCTGTTACACCGCAGGGAAATAATTACCGAGGGACATAATTTGTTCCACGGCTCTGGAAGCAGTGATTGCTCCACTGACTCACCCAAGGGATGGGGGCCAACACCGTAATGAAGAAAAGACAACAATGACATTCGCAATTGGTATACTGGATTTCTATGACATAATAATTGGTATAGGAGGGTGGACGACTCGCAATGATTTGATGTGCTACTGGTTTTGGCACGTTCGGACAGGTAAGATTGGTTGTCGGTATCAACCATTTCTTGATGAAGCCGAGGGATTGTGATCGAAAAAAAAAAAAAAAAAATGGCAAAGCAAGAGAGGAGTCCAATCTCGATGCCCCGCCTTAGTTCTGCAGATGTAATTTAAATTGCATCGCCCCGGTTTGCGGCATGAGTCTCCAGGCGGACAAGAATAGTAGGCACGTAGATCTTTTGAGGATTGGACCATGTCGTCGTATTTCCAATCCCTTCCGAGAGGATGATATGATTTTCGCAGTTTATAGTGAGCCGAGTGGAGTCCGTAGCGGAGGGCGACTAAACCAGATGGAGTAGAGGGTAATGGTGCCATGACTGCACTATGAGTCTAGTCAGTATAGTTCTCCACTGTGTTTTTTTCTCCTACACGATCCGGCGAGCAGAGTTTTAATTTCTATTTGTTCGTCTTATGAAAATTTCCCTCATCAGCCGACTGGAGGATGATCTGATTTCGGCCAATGTGCACAACATCCGTTATCATTGCATATGGCGCTGTACATCACCAAGGCAATAACTGGCTAGATATTTACCCACTACCTACTAGTACTCAATCTGTTTAAGAACATATTTTATGCTGTTCCCGTGATTGGCGCCGTCCACTCACCGCATTTTCCAGTCGGTAACCAGTGACGTACAGAGTCGATGGGATCACGCAGCCATCGAAGATCTGCAGATAATTTTAATGCGTGCCCTCCATGCGAACCGTCCGGAGGAGTAAGCAATGTATCTAGGTTTTGTCCATCTTGTCAACATGACTCAATTGGTGATATCTACAGATTCATTGAAAGTGGTCCCTGCATTCTCGTATCAGTTCTACTTCATGAATTGGGCACTTTCTTCTTTTTTTTCTTTTTCTTTTTCTTCGTAAACATATGTCTCTTGACTTTATCCCCCTCCCTTAAAGCTCATGCTGTATATATCCATGCGACATAGAAGGACGAATTAAAAAATAAAAAAGCAAAAGCAAAACAATCCGGGAGTGAAATCAGTATCACTGTGACAACTACTTTGCTGCCCCGCCAAACTAATCCCTAAGTTAACGGCCCTTCGGCCACTAGCGGGAGTTCAGTCCCTCCATCAGTCGACCTCACTAACCATCTTAGTCCGGAATTCTCCCTCCTCCATCCTTGAGTGGGGACCCTTCTGTTTTTTTTTATTTTTTTTTTTTCCCTTTCCTTTTTTTTTTGTTACCCATGATTGATTCTGTCTTTCTCCTTTCCTCTCTCCTTTTCTCTCTTCTCCCCTCCTCAACTGATTAACTATCTTACTATTATCATACATCTCTGCCCCAATTGTGAGTTTGGTTTGATCATCAATCAAACTCATACATCTCTGATCTGACCAATCCCACCTCTATAGCCCCTCCAAAGTTTCACCTCCCTTACCTCTCAACCCTATTACCCGATCCATTGTCTGGGAGGCCTCTTCTCTTTTGGTTCCTCGTTTCTGTTTTTTTTATTTTTCTCTGTATATTATTCCGTCGATTCACTCGATATCCCTGTTGTGTAATTGTTCCTTTAAAGCCTCTTTTGCGCTTTGATCTCTTGTTTGATACTTAACGACTGTTACGACCTTGACGATCACAACAATGGTGGAATCCATTACTGAGACTGTCACCATCTCCGTCCGTCGTCCGACCGACACCCCTACCATCTTCGTCGCCGGTACCTTTTCGGAACCTCAATGGGAGCCATTGGAACTGAGTGTTAAGACGATAGAGGTCGAATCGGAATTAGACCCTGGCCTCTACTCGACCGAGTACCTTTTCTTCCGGGATTTCAAGCTGGCTCCGGGGCAATATCAGTACAGATTCCGAGAAGGCGCGACTGGCTCGTGGTTTCACGATGAGTCTGTAAAGAACGGTAAGTTCAAATCGGCTTCAGCAGCCTTTTACGTAACTATCCCGGGTATAACAGCATGGCTAACCAATGCTTTGGAACCATAGCTTCTGGAACGGAGGGCCTGATCAACAATTACCTTACCGTCAAGCCTGCGGCCGAGCAGGAGACTCCCGTCCAGAATGGTGCCAGTGACAAGGCGGAGGAGAGTACAAAGGAACCGGAGTCTGAAGCTTCGGAAAAGGCGGAGCCAGTAACAAATGGCGTTCACAAGTCAAATGGTGTCAACGGAGACGCTGAGCACGAAGCCCCTGTGGCCGACGAGTCTCCCGTCGAGGATCAGAAGACCGAACAAGTCCCTGAGAAACCTGTCGAGACCGATGCCAAAGCAGAGACCGAGGCAGAGCCGAAGGAGACTCTTTCCAATAGCACCAAGGGGCCAAAAGCCAACGGAACTGAATCCGCCGAGCATATCTCCGAGAGCAAGGAGGAGCCCGTGGCCGAGGAGAAGTCGGAGCCGGTGGTAGAAAAGCCCGAGGAGAAGGTGGCTGAATCTCAGCCTGCGGCGGAGAAGGAGGACACTGAAAAGAATGCCGAAGAAGTTCCAGTCACCTCTACCCAGGAGGAGGCGCCGGTCGTGAACGGCGATGCTAAGGTCGAGGCTGAGAAGCAACCGGAGGAATCCCAGCCGCAGAAGGTTGCCGAAGAAGCACCAGTGAAACCCGAGGAGCCTGTTTCTGAGACGTCCGCACCCGAAGTCACGGCTGAAGAATCCCCCGCTCAAGAATTGAAGACCGAGAAACCCATCGCCACCGAGTCCACAGCAGCTGAAACTACTACAGAGCAGCCCGTCACCGAAGAGCAACCGACAGTGGAGGAGACCCCCAAGGAGCCCGCCACAGAGCCTGCCGAGACGAAACAGGCGGAATTTGCTTCTGAGGAACCCGCCAAGGAGGAGCCGACCCCCGAAGAATCCAAGGAAGCTCCCACCGTGGAAGAGCCAGTGAAGGAATCCGTTAAGGAGGAGGAGGTACCGGAACAGCCCAAAGAGACGGTCTCCGAGAAGCCCGCTGCTGAAGAGGTCGTTAAGGAAGAGATCACCGAAGAACCGAAGGACGCTTCCGCCACCGAGGAGCCAGCTGAGAAGCTTGACGAGTCGGAGAAGGCTCCTGTTCAAGAGGAGACGGTGGTGGAAGAGCCTAAGGAGACGACCAAAGAACCTGTCAAGGAAGAGACACCCGCCACTGAAACGCCTGTGGCTGAGGAGCCCGCTGTCGAAGAGCCGGTCGAGGAGAAGGCGGCGCCGGAAGAGCTTAAAGACACATCCACCGCTGAGCCAGCCGTTGCGGAAGAACCAGTTAAGGAGACTGTCAAGGAAGAGCCGGTCCCTGAAAAGATCGAGGAGCCTGCCACTGAGCCAGCCGTTGCTGAAGAACCTGTTAAGGAGACTGTTAAGGAAGAGCCAGTCCCTGAAGAAACCTCTGAACCAGCAGTTGCTGAAGAACCAGTCAAGGAGACTGTCAAGGAAGAGCCGGTCTCTGAAAAGACCGAGCAGCCAGCCGTTGCTGAAGAACCAGTTAAGGAGACTGTTAAGGAAGAGCCAGTCCCTGAAGAAACCTCTGAGCCAGCCGCTGCTGAAGAACCAGCGAAGGAGCCTGTCAAGGAGGAGGCAGTATCAGAGGCACCTAAGGAGGCACCTGTTGAGGAGCCTGCTACTAACGGCACTGCTGCTCAGGATAAGCCGTCTACCGAGGAAACTGTTGCTGAAGCGGTGAAGGAGGTGCCAGTTGTCGAAGAGTCTAAGGAGACTCTGTCCACTGCAACTCCAGACGCTCAGGAATCGGTTGCTCAAGAACTCGCTACCGAAACCTCTGCCACTGAGGATGTCCCCAGCGAACCCACGAAGGAGGCAGCCGCCGAGAAGCCCACAACCGCCGATGTTGTAGCAGAGGAACCAGCGAAGGAGACAGCAACAGAAGAGACCGAAGTCGAGAAGCCTGTCATTGAAGCACCTGTTGAAGCCAGTTCCGAAGCACCGGCAAAGGAGTCTGTTCCAGAGAGCACTACGGCTGAGGCTGCTGTCGAAACGGAAGAATCGCAACAGCCTGCCGAGGAGACTTCCGAGCCAGCTGTCCAGGATGAAAAGGCGCCCACCCAAAAGCCGGTAGAAGAGACCAAGGCTGAGCCTGCTTCGGAAGAAACCAACACGAAGGAAGAGGTTGCTCAATCCTCTGTCGAGGGAAAACCCGCCGAAGAGGCCGCGCTGGTGTTTTCTGCGGAAGAAAGCGAGAAGGTTGTCGCCGAAGCCGCTAAGGAAGAGGAAGTTCCAGAGGAAACCTCTGCGAAGGCGCCTGTTGAGGTGGAGGCTACAACTGCTGAGCCTGTCGTTGAAGAAACAACCACTGGGGAGCCCGCTAAGGACTTGACGAAGAAGGAACCGGCTACACAGGAACCTGTCTCTGAAGTGCCCGCTGCTGAGGAACCAATCAAGGCGTCAGGCCCTGAAGACGTGGTAGAAGAGCCTACAACGGAAGAAAAACCCGCCGAGGTCACCGAGCAAGAGACTAAGGAGCCGACCACCGAAGAATCTAAGGAGATGAAGCCTGCTGCTGAGGAAGGGACCCCCGAAGAGCCCGTTAAGGAAACTCCCGTTGTTGAGCAACCAGTTGAGTCCGAGCCCGCCAAGGAAGCCGAACCCGTGAAGCCCACCGCAGAGGAGCCTGTTAAGGAGCTCGTTGCTGAAGTGGCTGCTGTCCAAGAGCCCACTCCTGTCGAGCAACCTGCTGCTGTCAAGGAATCTGTCGCTGCTGAGCCTTCTACGGAGGAGCCTTCTACGGAGGAGCCTTCTACGGAGGAGCCTGCTGCGGAACAGCCCGCCAAGGAATCTGAGCCCGTGACTGAATTGTTATCTACTGAAGAGCCTGCCACGAAGCAAACGGCCGAACTTGAGCCAGTTGAGCAGCCAGTGGCGGAAGAAAAGCCTATGGATGACTCCACTGGAAAGCCAGCAACTGAGGAGGCAGTGACTGAAGAACCGGTCCCAGAACCAGCTGAGAAGGCCGTGGTTGCCGAGACACCTGCTACCGAGGAAGTCGTTGAAAAGGCTTCTACCGAAGAGCCTGCTAAGGAGCCTGTCTCCGAGGAGCCGGTCGCTGATAAGTCTGCTGAGCAGCCGGCTTCGTCGAATGTGGTCGAGGAGACTGCTGAATCTTCTAAGGCTGTTGTCCCTGAGGAAATCACCTCGAACGAGGTTGAGCCTACTGTGTTGCAGTCCCATGAGGAGAAGCCGGAAGAGGCGACTGAGCTACCTAAGGAGGAGACTGTTGCAGCTGAGCCTGTGGCTGTTGAGACCTCTGCTGAACAGACGGCCCCAGAGACTGAACCTGAGGTTGCACCCAAGGCTGAAGCTGAAGAGGCTGTGACCACTCAGAAGGAGGAGCCTACCAGCGAGCCAGTAGCAGCAGCCCCTGCTGAGGCTGAGGAGGAGCCTGTATCGGCTTCTTCTGGCGAGTCTCCTGTTGAGAAAGAGAGCACTGAAACAGCTGAAGTCATCCCCGAGGCCACGAAGGAGGATGCTCCTGAACAGGATGGAAAGGATGGCGTCTCAGCCGAGCTGATTGGTGCGGGTACTGCGGTGGCAGCAGCTGCCACCGCAGGCGCTGTTGCCGTAGGACTGGCTGCTTCATCGCATAAGGATAAGGAACAAGAAGCCGCGTCTGCGGATAAAAGCTCCAAGTCTGTAGAAGAGTCTCAACCCAGCAAGGGCGAGGACAAGGCTGCCAGCCCTGCTCCTGAGTCTCAACTATCAGCCAGTAAGGAAGCACCATCGTCTACTTTGAAGAAGCCTGAAACTGATATCAATGAACCATGTTCAGGATCCGAAGAGCTAGCTGCGTCAACCAACGAACCATCCACTTCTGCCGAGCCCACAACTGCGACAGAAACCACTGCTGACAAGGCTATGGCTCAGAAGGGCGACACCTCTCGTTCTCCAAGCCAGACTCGGGCCGTTACTCTCAGCAATGCCAAGAATGATGGCTGGTTGAAGGTCATCCTTCGCGCCGTCTTCGTCAACTTCTTTGGAGCCATCTTCTCTCCTTTCCGCCGTCGCCCCAGGAACGACCAGTAAATCTGCAGTGTGAATATTCCTCGCACTTCTTCCATGCATATCATCACCGACTCCTATGGGATCTGAAAGTGTGTCCTTAACCCATTGTTACTAATTAATGCATCTTTTTAGCATGCATATACCCGGCTTTGTTGACCAAGCTTCTTGTCACTCATTTTGCTCGCCTTAATTTGATTCCCCTGTATTTGACTTGTGTGCTTTATCAACTCAGCTTATTGTTATCTGTTCTGTTCATTTTATTTCTCCTCTCCAGAATGTGTCGATTATTGTCCGCGAGTCTGTTGTGCCAAAACTGATAGTAGTTAACAAAACTTGTTTTGTTTTGCCATCGATTTATGTTTACCAGTATGTAGTGATGCGATTATGATTGATGATAATGAAGATTTGAAGATTATTTCACCAGGTTTTGTTCTTGGACTGTGTCTACTCCTTCGGATAAGCCTGCTCCTATCACATCAACAAATTGAATACGGTCAATCCGTAACAAAATTGTAAGAAGATAGAAGAGGTAGCAACCAGGAGATAGGCTGTGAAATGCAATCATTCAAGTAACTGAAAGATGCCCATTCTTCCTGGCGAATCCCGTCTCCAAAAGTCATATCCAACTTGGACACAACTTCCCCCGCAACGACTTCTTAGGTTGTTTGATCCTTTGACCTGCCCCAACATCCATTCTCATTTATACACTGTACGGCTCTTAAGTTGGGGAGATTTACATAAAAAAGATATATTGTTTCTTGTGGGGGGTCCATCCAAGATACGTACGGAGTAGATATAACAGGTGTCAATCACCAAAGTCTTTCTATCAGTCGAGCAAAAAAAGAAAGTAAAATTGTATCTCTGTCCAGAAAAGTAGATTCGCTCTCAATGTCCAGAATCAAGCTGATATCAAGGTATCTAAAGGGACTTGTACGTTACATACATATCCCACGCCATATCCAGACAGAAAGCAAGGGGTGTTTCTGATAGAGATGCTAAAAAGGGAAGAAAGAGTCAAGACAAGCCCCGAACTCCAAATCCCTGATCCCATAACTCCGGTGAACATGAGTAGAGAGTAAGAGAAGATAGGGAAAAGAAAGGAAACAGCCACAGCTAATTCCATGTGCGTCACTTGGGGATGTGTGAGTGAAATTCACGTCTCGCGCTGTGGCTCGTGCCCCAGCAACACAACACAACACAAGTGAAGGCATCAGCTTCGCCACATACAAATCTTGTTTACTTGTTTGTTTCTTATAGTGAAAGAGCAACACCCGAAAGTTGATTTCCTCAAATCATCTCGCGATATGGCAGACCAACGTAAATGCAATAGAACAACAATGCACCGACTTGTTCTTCAAGTATCTCGTTTGCTTTAGTGAATATCTTTTGATTGGCTATTTCGTTTCATTTCATTGTTCGTCATGACGGACTCTGATAAAGACCAGGAGGCTCAGACTAGATCTGAGTCTGAGGATAAGGAGTTGAAAGAGAGACCCAAGGTCAAACTGCCTCTTGTGCCCACCGTGCCTGGTAATGCTTGGTCGCAGATGAGGGCTCGTGGGCAAGAATGTATTCGTGAAAGGGAGCTGCATAAGTTGGAGTTTGGTGAGTTGGGGTATGACCCTAATACAGGTATGTTATGTCTCCCCTCCCTTGTCGCTGTTGGCTTGACTTTGCTGAAGTGAGTAGTGATAAGTCGTCCAACCGCGTCCTATTCTTCAAGGTCTAGTACGATGAGGAAATCGTCTAGACTAGATTACGACGAGGCTCTCGCCCTCCCGATGCCTAAGCCCCGTCTTATAGCTGTCAGTAGTTCTGCTCCTGTGCTTGAGCCGACGGTTTCAAAGGCAAACGTCCTCACAAAGTTGAGTGGTTTGAAGAGACAGGGCGCTATGGAGCCCCATCCTGGTGATAAGAGTGCGGGTACAAAGGCCGAAGGTGAAAAGAAAAGGTCCATGATCGCGACGCTGAGATCGAGACTCAGCTTCAAGGAGCTTGGTAAGGAGTTTCGTAAGGCTCAAAATCCTCCACTTAGCACTATGCCTCGACTGCCACCGAGTGTTGGAATTCCACAGGTCGAAAAGACCAAACAATCGCCGCCTGGGTCATTTGACTTTGATGAGGAAAGGCTATATGCCCCCAAGCCCAGAGATCCTGGAGTGCACCCTGCATCTGATCCAGTCCAGACCTCTAGGTTTTCGGACTCAGGTAGCTTCGAGAGCTCTAAACAGAGCACCTCATCCTGCCCTGCACAGCAGGCTAAGGGTGATGGCAGGCTTGATGCAGAAACTCTTAAAGACACACAGAAACAACATCGGCCTCATCACAAAGTGGGAAACGTGGAGCCTATGACGCGCCTTGACACTGTCCTGATTGACGGCTCATCTCCTCTAGCCAGCACAGGCGATACCAGCAGGGGCCATCCGGCGGTTGTCGATGCGGAACAACGCTATATCAGTATGAAGGTGGAGAACGAACCATCAGTTCCCTCTAAGTCAAATACTGATGTCACCTCTACTATGAACCCAGCTTCAACATCCAATGCACCAAAAGGTATTGCACCAGTGTCCTCGCTGCGCGAACACAAACAGAGCAAGGTGGAGAAAGATCGTCCGCTAGTCGTCTCATCGGATCAGCAGAGGCCACTGTCTGTCAGGACACAGGATCAAGCTGAAGTAACTACCCCGTCTGGGCAGTACAGCAGGCACTCATCTACTAGATCACGGGAGCAAAGAGCCTCGAACTCTGGACAGGCTGAACCTGTTTTCGACCCAACACATATGAGGATGCTCTTCGATTCTCAGCTCCCTATGGATGATCCTCGTTTCTACTCTGGCGTGACGACTCACGGAGGTTATGCACCTCCTCCACCGCACCCGGGCTATCAAAACACAGTAACGCTGGAGCAGCAGATATCCACCTACATGGATTCGCTTCACATCCACGTTGACGGCACGGCCAACAAACTTGCCCGGTCATTCGAAAACAGCAGCAACTGGTCAACGGATCAAATCCTGAGGCACACAGGGCATCTGTCGGATCTTATGCGCAAGCTCAATACCCGAGTGATGAGCGACACTGAAGTGACGAGAGAGCTGCAGAGGGTCATGATGGAGGTAAAGATTCAAGTCGGCGCTATACAGCGCGAGCAGCATCAGATGGAAGACAGGATGACACAGCTCTTCCAGAGCGAGTACAACAAACTGAAGGGCGAGATTAACGTGTTGGCCTCGACCGTAAGGTCCACCCTCCCCTACAACTCAGCACAGGATGCAAGATCCATCAATACCAGGTTGCAGGGGAGCCGAGATGTCCTCAGATGGAGTAAAGACAATGAAAGGCCACAAAAGTTCAGGAAGATGAAGTCACGTCAGATGAGGATGGAAGATGTTGTGACAAAGAACACAGAGAGCAGAGGAGGGGAAGAACACAACTGTGAATCTGTCGCACTGAACAAACACGCCGAGGAACACACGCTTACTGATGATGTTCCAACGCCTATGGCAGTTTTTCCCACTCCAAGTTTCCATGGCGATGACAGGAAAGATTACTTCACTGAGCCTCACTCCAGAAGACTCATCCTGAAAGACCCGAGCACAAAATCCCCTGGAAGTCCAGAACCTCTGCACAGCAGCTCCGCTAAAGGCAAAGAAAGAACTACTAGCAGCCAAACTCTTGTTCACAAAGCAAGCGCTGAAATCATGAAGTTCCCAGCTAAGATGGGCCTTTTCTATCCTTTCCGCCGTGGCCGTGATCGACGTAGCAGCGAAAGCAAAATTGCAAGCCGCTCTTTGCCTCCTACCAAGCGCAGCAAAGATGATAAAACTTCTGAAGAGCCAGAGTCCATGAAACAAGAACCACTTCCATTTACACCCGCCATGCAGACAAGCGCTATTGCTACTACTGGTGCAGAGCATCGCCAGGTGGAGATTAGCCCCAGCAGAGTTCATCCCGCTCTGCGCAATCTTGCTCAGCAACAGATCATGGCTGAACGTGAGCGCCTCGATACTCAGAATACCATGACGCCCAGGCAGCTCCTACGATCCTCCCGATCCTTTCAGGACCTGAATTCTCGCTCCAGAAATGCTGCATCGTTTGATTGGATTGATAGCTCAATCGAAAGTCCTTCGGAGTCTACAAGTCGCAGTCAGAACCAGCAGGATCTCGCTATGGGATTCCCTGCTCTTTCAACGGCTCCACTCCGCTCGTCTTCTAGAGCAGATTCGCCATTGACAGCTTTCGCTGAAGCACGGATGTCTCAGGCTTCAGATGTTTCTTTTGGTTACCGTGGCCCCACCCCTCCTCCCAGAGAGTCTGAAGCGAGCGAGTCGGGCCTACCAACCTGGTATCAGGCAGCCTACGCATACAAGCCCATCGAAAAGCCAGAGGACGATTGATATGAAACTATCAGTTCATAGTAAGATTACTATTTGCTTTCAAGCATTCCACGCCGTGACGATTTCATTTCCTCGGTAGTCTTTATTGGGTTGGAACCTTGGCTGGGGTAACTGCGTATGACTTGGCGCACTAAGATGGTCGTTTGGGAGTTTGGTACTCAAGGGGTATTGGCATTTGTTATTGAACGGAAGGGGATAACATTGGATGGTTTAACAGGACAAAAGTTGGGACCAAAAGTCGGTAATGGTGTGAGATTTCATTTCAGATTGACGCTTGCAGTTGACCTGCTCACGTGTTCTAAGATTACCGGGTATCATGATCTGGCTAACCAAAAAGAACAAAAAAAAGGGCGTAAAAAGGACATAAGAGAAAAAGAAAAGGAAACATTTCAGTTTATGGATTAAACATGAGGAATGTGTTCTTTTAAATGGGGATGAAATGTCATGTTGATACATTGCAAATAGCCTTAATGACAAATGCTTTATTTCTTCGAGATCATCTTCTCCATGTCCATGGCAGCATCCCGGACTTGGGGACAGTAGTGTAGTCGCAGTAATTCTCCCTCCCATACCGTCCCAGCAAAGACATTGGTTGCTTCTATATCTGTTGCGTAGGGATTGTATACACCATCGCCTTTACGCTCCTCACTGTACCACAATGAAGAGATACGATTTGCGTGATGCTTCGTTACCTGGTTTAGAAGGGAAAGCGTGGCAATAGCGGACTTCTCAGGGACCTGGAGCGATGTCGTCAGGAGTCGTTTAGTGAAGCTACCAACACGCACCGGAGGTGGTATTCCTTGTGCGCGGGACAACAGTGTGGACTGAAGGCAGCGGAGCAGCAGAACTGTCGGAGTCTGAAAGTTGACCTTGTTCCTCGACTTGAATTGCTCCGTCGAGCTGTTATCATCTGGATCGGGGAGCCGAAGAGATTTGTTGGGGTTGAATTCAATGTCAGGGTTGATCGAGTGAGAGTATAGGGAGCGATAAAGATGCTTGATAAAAAAGCTTAAGTCAAGATGAAGTGTACCTGCCGCCTTGCTAGCATCCTGTCCTTGAAGGAGCGCAAAGGCAGTAACGGTACAAAGGAGGGCTTCGCGCTGAGAATCTCTTGATGCTGTCATGGATTCAGGATCCTCATCCTCCACGTCGTTGTCTTCAAATTCGTCGCGATCAGCGTGCCCGATCAAGTCCTTCAGAGCTTCGAGTAAGTCGCCAAAGAAATCTTGGTTGATCAGATGCGCGTATTTAGCAAGGCCCTCGAGTACCGGGCCCATAAGAGTAGGAATGCGGAGTTTCAGAATGCGGAAGTAAACCCCAAACACAAGCTTCAAGGTCTCCGCTTGGTTCTTATCTCTTTCCTCGTGGGATACTAAGGCGTCAGCTTCCTTCATATCCTTCTCCACGGCCTTCCGCTCCTTTTGGATCTTGCGCTCCCGTTTAGTGCGGAATTCTTTCTTTTGCTTCTTCTTCCCACGGAATGTATCCTCCTCTGGCTCACGGTCAACCCGGTCTCTTGATGCCTTGGAAGAGAATTCGGAGAGCAGCCGGAGGTGTAGGAAGGTGTCCAGGACGCTTTCGTTGATTCTAAATTCCTTCGCCTTCATCATCTTCGACAGGAGACGAACGGCTTCAAGGGAGACGACTCCATCCTCGTCTCTTGCGAAGACTTCTTCGATTGTTTCCCGGCATTTGACAAAATCAGCATCCACTTGTCTCTTTGCGAGCCGGTTGACAAGAATTTTCAAGAGCTCCCCGCGAAAGTTAAAATGTGGTACGGAAAGGAGCATGTTGCCAGCACAGTTGATCGCAATACTTTTTAAACTAGGGTCAACTTCCTCCTGTGAGGCTTTAGACGGCTTGGTAAGCTCAGTCAACTTCTGAACGTAGTGTTTATAATGTGAAAGAAGCGACTGTTCGTAGTTTTGCAGTTTGCGCACTTCTTTCGATAACTTAGTAGACATTTCTCCATCACTGAGAGGCCGGATGCGGTAGCCCGGGATCACGTCCTTAAATATGGCGGCTTGCGAGGCAAGAGCTAGCTTCTTGATTGCAACGTGCGCGCCGTTGTTAACCATTTCAGCCATTGTTTTGAAAGAGCCAAGATGTTCCTCCGGGTCTTCATTTATCAAAGTCGCCAGCTTTGCAAGTTCTTCTTTCGCCTGTAAGATCTGCAATTTCATCGGAATTTTGGGCTTCTCCTCCTCCGCAGGTGTTTCCTCATCCTCGTCCATGTCAGCCTCGGCGTCGGAGGCTACATCCTCCTCATCGTCATCGGTGCCAAGGAAACTGTCAGACTCTTCAGGCTCCGGTTCCTCAATGTTTTGCAAACCCTCCGCGGTTTTGATAGGTAGCCTTGTCCTCTCCTTATCTTTTTTGCCCATCTTGCGCGGACGGCGCTCGTAGTCTTGTTCGAGATCCCATTCGGAAGCGTTGCTGTAGAAGTTGTTCAAGGCTGAGCCCTTGGGGGTGCCATTGCCTTCATCACCAGGAGGACTCAAGCGTCTCCTTTTATTCGTGCGTCCTGGAGCCATGACGATTTTTATCGAGCAACCGAATTGTCGTGGTGAGGGTCGATGGTTGGTTTTGAGCGGTTCCCGTCCGAAACTTTTTTTTTTCTGCGGTGCCAAGACTTATGCCAAAAGCTCTCCACCTTAAACTTTTCTGGATTTTTTGTCCGCGGAGCTTTTCTTCGACTGCGAACAACCCGCATCAATCACTCAAAATGCGTCAACTCACTGAACAAGAGACAAAAACGCTTTTCGAAAAGCTGGCCAACTATACTGGTCGCTCGCTGAACAACCTTATTACTACATCCGATGACCCCAATGACCGATATGTATTCCGTCTCCATGGAAATCGTGTCTATTATATGAAACTGTCCTTGGCCAATCTTTCGACAGCCATTCCTCGCGCAAACCTTCTCTCACTTGGTACCTGCATCGGAAAGTTTACCAAGAGTGGCCAGTTCAGGCTGCACATCACTGGTAAGATCTCTATCAACTTTTAGCGATCAATGAACAGATCTCTGACTTCTACAGCTTTGGATGTGATTGCTCCCCACGCTAGATACAAGGTCTGGATCAAACAGAACGGAGAGATGCCCTTCCTGTACGGTGGAAATGTGGTAAAGGCGCACGTCAACCGGTGGTCAGACGATTGTCCAGAACACGCAGGTGTTGTTGTTTTCAACTCCAATGATACTCCTTTGGTAAGACAGTCGTTGACACAGCGAATATGGCGGTATAAGTTACTAACATTGTCTCAGGGCTTTGGAGTTACTGCCCGGTCTAGCGCCGAAGCGAGGAAATTGGAGCCAACAGCCATTACCGTGTTCCGCCAGGGAGATATAGGAGAATACCTGAGAGAGGTGTGTTATATCTTGATTGTGGAAGTCCTTGCACACATCGCAGCTTACTGACTTTTGCCTAGGAAGATACTCTCTTTACGACGTAAAGGAAAATCGTTGCATACGCGGGATCATTCATGGAATTTGGATGCTAGATACCTGGGGGTTCTCGCAGGAGTTCTGGAGTCATCTGTCTGTTTCAATAGAAAAGTTTTTACCTTTGTTCTTCAGCATACTGTATCCATAATCATATGCGATCACAACAGCCCGTTTCCCCCTGGCCTAAACCCAACTATATCCTTTCTGACGTTTCCAGATATGTCGTCTCTCATGACATTTTCAAGTACTTGGTTCAATAATTATGTAGACATTCAACCCCATGCATAAGGAGTAGTTTGAGGCTTATTGGTGGGAAGGATGGGACGCTGATGGTCACACAGCTTGCCGCTTTAATATGAGGAAATAGAGGTTATTCCGAAATTCAACATACAAAGAATATATAAATGTTTCAAAGCGTCTGAACAAATGATGTACAAAAAGTTTTTGACTGCTCGTTGCAGTAAGTTATTTGGAGATAATCAGTCCATGTATTAATTTATACTGCGGGGCACGTGCATTATCAGTGATCAGTCAGCTCTTCAAAAGCGACAATGCGAACTTTTGCATCTAATCAGCCATAGTTGTGTCTACTACATTTCTCAGAATCTCTACTGCGCTGAACAATTACTGGACTCTCTAATCTATCGCTACTTTTATTATAAAATTTCCCTCGCTCTCACATTCCTTGTTCAGGTTTAGCACTCGATAGAAGATCGTACCTGAAGGCCGGTCTGCACCCCACCATGCCACCTTACTCGGGTCTCCAGAGGCAACAAATAGCTCAGTTTATGAACTTTACACAAGCAAAGGATGCAGTAGCTGCCAAGGTATGATCTTCCTTTTAGTATTATACCACACGCATTGTTGGTCTCAAGTCGTACACATAACTTTCCATGTCACGTGCGATAATCAAGGCCCGAAGCTGATGTTTCGTTTATAGTTCTTAAAAGCATCTAGGTGGAATGTCGAAGAAGCCATTGATGCGTAAGTTGCCTGGGATATTTCATTTCTTTTGTTCTTGTCTTGTCTTTCCCTCAATCCATGGCTGGGCCTCTGCTTTTTCTTGGGCTTTGCAATCCGCCGTACTGCAGTGTGGAAATGCCGGACTCTCTTATTGCTTGCCGAATGACTGGGCGGTTTGGGTACTCCGGTGTTTACTGGCTATGCTCTTTTCAGTTGCAGCAAGCCGTCGCCTGTCTTTGGTAAGTAAACGGGCAACTGGAGATAACTTGTCAGGCATTGACTCTCTATTCTCCTTTTGGACATTCTATGCACACGACAGAGTACTGTTGGCTGGTCTTCTATCCCATGTTAGCATCTAATTGCGTAATACCCGCCAGACGAGACTGCGGTGCTTCAGGCCAGTTTGAGGGCAGTTAAAGTAACTCACGATTACCTCCAAGCCTAGCTCGTCTATGCGGCGCCTTACCACAATTTGCCGCTTATGGAGCACATATGGGACACTCTTGAACCTCATAGACCAAAGGTGTCATGTATCTCTCTGGCCCATATGGAGTAAGGGCAAAGGACGCGGGTGAGGTTCGCAATTACCTAAATAATCCCCAGGCGTCATTCTTGTGTCATCACAACGTTTGGGTCCTTTCAAAGATTCCGAGGGAACATAACCGAGATAGGCATTCAAGCTCACAAGCGTCAAGATGAGGACCCGCTCTGGAAAGTCGGAATACTTATGTCTTCCATTGTCCATGCCTTCCCGTGCCTCAAAGAGGCGAAAGTCAGTCATACCAGCGCACATGACGTTTACTGACAAGATCCAGGTATTTCCAGAGTCCCCAGGGGGCAGGGGGCACCACCTCCTCTATCAACAAGATATTCGACAGCTATCGAGGTAAGGCAGCTCGCCCAAAGAAAAGTATCAGTTCCAACCTAATCCCATTCAGACTCCCCAGATGACAGCCCCGATGGCATCGGCATTGAAGGAGCGATGAAATTTCTCGGCGATATCCAAGTACAACTAGACGAAGTGACATGTCTCGGCATCGCAGAACTTCTGAAATCACCATCGATGGGCGAATTTACTCGAGAGGGATTCCTGAATGGTTGGAGGGCTGTCGGGTAACATCACCACCAAAACCCGTTGTCAAAATACGGAAATCAAGATAATCTAACCTAATCTACAGATGTGACTCCATCGACAAAATGGTCGCCCACGCTGACAATCTCCGATCGCAGATCCCCACGCAGCCAGATCTCTTCCGTCGCGTGTACCGCTATACCTTCCCTCTCTGCCGGATGCAGGGCCAGCGGAACCTCCAGTTTGAGATTGCAGCCGAGCAGTGGAAACTATTCTTTACGCCGGACAAGGGCGGAGTCCAGTGGGACACCGAGACGACTCCATGGCTGGAATGGTGGATCGAATTCATGGAGGAGCGCGGAAAGAAGCCCGTTAATAAGGATCTGTGGGAACAGGTTGAGGTCTTCATGAGGAAGACTCTTGACGATGAACGGTTTAGGTGGTGGAGTGCGGATGGCGCATGGCCTGGGGCACTTGATGATTTTGTAGCCTGGGTGCAGAAGAAAAGAGGGGATAATATGGATGTGGAGTGATGGTTGGTGGTGGATCGTTGAGGGGAATGAGTGTATGAATGCATAGTAGAATTGGTATATTCTACTTCTCGCAGCGCTCTAGGTCCAGCCAACTGTATCGGGCTCTACGCCTCTTTCAACCGACAAGTTTGAGAAATGTTCGCAAAACATTTGCAGTAGAACGCCCTAGTTTCTTAACTATCAAAGACTAAGGACAGGTATTGAAGGTAATATGTAATTTGACATTGCAAAGGGTAGACAGCAGCACTATGGACTATCAAGTTATGTATATCGACAGCTGCAGACAGAAACTAAGAAAAACATACATCGTGACGGTCAAACATATCTTCATCTCGGCACGACACAAGATAGGGAATGGTCTTGGGGCCAGATCAGAATAGAACATGAGAATGTAATCAATCAAACATGCGAAAGGGGTAATTGGGGGCGGAGAGGGGGAAGAAATAGATTGTCCGTGCCTTCGGCTTGCTTTTCCTTGAGGCAACGTATTGCATCTATTCAACCGAGGTATGGTGTGGGCGGGCCGAGGATTATGGAAGGCGTTCGGGTCGTTCCGCTTGGGCCGGATGGGTAGGGTCTGAATCTATATACATTTACTAGTAGCCCTTGGGCTCGAAATCACTGCCTGGGCCGGCGCGACGTTGGTCGTAACGCTATGTAGGTTTGTAAATTAGTGTCTGGGATGAAATGGTTGAAGAGGGCATTTACCTTTTTCAGGGCCTCGAGGCGCTTTCTCTTCGTGTGGGTGTTGACATAAGTTCCAATGAAGAAACCGATGATGTTGAAGAATGGCACCCAAGTGTGCTCGGGGAGGAACTTCTGCGCGAACGCAAGTGCGAGAGGGGAAGTGACCCAGCTGACTTTCATGACGGGCATGAAACCAGCGCGAACAGTGGCGCGAACCTGATGGAAGGTGCGCGCGCCAGTGATGACGGCCATCGACGATAGGTACACCACGTTTTGGATGGGGGAGATCTGCGTTTTAGGTTAGCGTATCCGCGCATTCCAGAGATCGAAGGCTCGATTTGTGGGACGCCCGACATGAATGGGGAACGTACGATGAGATTGCTAAAAAGAATCTGCAGGATCTTGGCCTTCAGGCTTGTGCGGCCGGCAAAGATCTTTTGGAGGATGCCCACGAGGAAGTGGCCCAGTGGGGCAGCGACAAACATGCCGTAGAGAAGCATTTTAGGAACACGGGCGCTGAAGTAGTGCCCATTCCTGCTGACATCATTCGCGATCCACGAGGCCAAGTATTCTTGAGTTGCGGAAAGCACACCCGACGTCAACATCTTGGTGCGCAGAGGGTTCTTCTGCAGCTGACGCAGGTACATCTGTAAAAGCGAGCATTTTCCATGTCAGCGAGTTGCGATCGTACCGACCGCGATAGTATCAATCGCCGAGCCGAGGATGGAGGATAAACATACAGCCATATAGCCATTCTGAGGGTTTCCGCCAGTCAAGCGTTCGCCGACCTTGTGCACCAATTCCTTTGTATCTTGGCGAATTGACTTTGCGGCCTCCTCCTGAAACTGTCCCTGGACCTGGCCCTTAATCTGTTCCGTGACCTGTTGCGTGACCTGTTGCGCGACCTGGTCCTGGAACCTATCCTGAAATTTCACGGACATGATGGCGGTTGCTGCGGTTGCGTCGGCAATAGAACACGAGGGTAACGATGATAAGATCGGTTCTCGGAATTGACGGCAACGGGTACAATTGCGGCGGACGCGGTCTCTGAGAAACAGTTAATACACGATCCGCTCGGACAATAAAGCATACAATGGACTTTAGATGACGGACAGTTGGATATGGGGCGCTGTGGGTTAAGAGGGGAATAAGAAAATCGGTGAGAGATTGATTATGGGGTTGGAGAAGAAAGAAAAAGTCCCGCCAGGAACTAAAGAAACAGGGGGGGGAGGAGCTGAGCTACTGTTTGTTTATTGAACGAGGAGGCTGGCTGGAACTCCCCAGACCGAAAAAAAAAAAAGTTCCCAGCTTGGGGGGACACGGAAAGCTTACCGAGGTTAAGTAAGGTAAATAATTGGTAGTAGAACAATTAAGAGGTTAAATGAATCGAGGGAATTAAACCGATTAATTTAGGATAGACACTCAATAGATGACGAAATTGTTTATCGAACTGGAGAACGTGTGGGTTTCTCTTATATGCAGGTCATTTATCGAAAAACAAAAACAAAAAAAATAAATAAAAAATGGTTTCAGATAAGAAAGATACAAAAAAGGGAACCCTTTTCCCAAGAGAGACCGTCACAAAATAGTCAGTGTTGGAAACTGGGGATTTAAAGCTGGAGGGAAAAGTGGAGGATAAATCGGGATCTCTCAAGGCGACAGGTCATTTGAAGTCGGCCACGAATGTCGGCAGATCTTATTTATATTGCTGTTCACTAAATTCAAAATTACCTGCTAATTTGGTTTTATACGCAACCAACTGCAATTGTCCGCTGCCTATCGGTCACCTCCGATAGCCTATCGCTTCGGCTCGCTCGAAAGTTTATTTGCCTATTATGTTTTGGTTATTACTCCGTACTTGGAATAATATTCTCCACTATATAAGGACCTGGTGTATTCATAACTATCACAGTGCCTACTTCTACTACACAATTAACATACCGAGATTTATCGCTTACATATGCTTTGTATGCTGAGTCGAAGCTTTCATTCCATCACTCACAACCTATATTCTTGATACAGGACGCTGGCCTATTTACAGAAGAACCAAGCAATGATGAAAATACAAGGGAAAAAGAAAAGAGAAAAAGAGAAAAAGAAAAAGGAAGTATGTAATAAAATGAAGTTTCAAAAATACATAATTCAGGTTTGGTCTGTGTTTCAATCACCATCTTCTTTCAGAATCCGATACACGACATGAAATGAACTTACTATATAATTTGCAGTCTGGTTCTTTGCCATACCTTTGAAGCTTCACTCCAGCATCCCAGGATGACATACTAGATCTATCTGATTGTTATCAACTTGGTGTTCATGAGAGGTGAATTACAAGACAAAGTGAATATACCACTTGGCCGGAATATTTCTTTATCATGCATGATGGTTATTATTTCCTAGCTTCGATCTTTCTGTCACAGAGCGCACCCTTTTACTACTTTATGAGTGAATGCTATCACCCACTCTTAATATGTCTCTTCTTGTTACTGTGTGATACCGTACCTATGCTCTCATATCCAATCACACTGCTCTGGTTTTTCATTTCATCCCATCCTGAGCTATGGCAGACAATGAACATGGCGACTCCGGAGAGAACACAGGTGTTCACCCTACCGATTCACTTCCTATCCTACAAGTGCCTTCTTTAGCATCCAACTACCCTTTGGCCCACCATTATCAAGCTCCCGCCCAAGAAAGTGATGTTTGGCCTGCCTCGGAACCCCAGCTACCTCTCGATTATCAGAAACATTATACTGGACATCCGCCCATGGCTTCTCCGACAACCCAGTCAGCTGTCCGCCAGCATCGCTGTCATCACAGTGTGATGGAACGCCAGTTCTGCATTGACCGTACGGAAACATGCAACTCATGTGGAAGACAGCCATTCCTCGGATGGCTCTACCTCTGTGTTGAGGATATTTCGGGCTTCTCTGATCCCTTAGATCCCATAAATGGCCCATTCCTCAGTCCGTGGATACTAAAAGCCATGGAAGATGGCCACTATACGACCGAACAGAAAGAAATCGTGATTCACCAAAAGTTGAACGTCGTGAGGACGGCGGAGAGAGAAAGAGGCCCCGTACCTCCACCGCTGTCTATGCTCTATGCAGAGCGTAGTGCGCTAAACGGTCACAACCAAGATGATCCATGGGTAGAGTTGGTAGAGGATGTCAGCCAGCGGGATGAGAGTGCCCCCAAAACCAGCGAATCAGCGGTTCGCCTCGACCGTCCTGAGCAAGCCTCGCAGCTACTCCAGCCTTCACACCCTTCTCTTCCATGTACATTCAAGGCTTGTCGTTACTGCGAGCGTCGCCATGGTAACCTCGAGGAGCGCACCTGGATAAGTCTCAATGAAATCTGCAATGATCCTTCCATTCCCCCTCCAGACTCGTGGGAACTGCTTGAGCGACCTGTCTCCGATGCCAATATTCTTCGAAACTTAGAGCTGCCCTCTCAGCGTATCTGGATTGGTTCTCAAGAGGCGAGTTCCTCGGCATACGGCATCGCAGAGAGCCGCGAAGATATAAGCGCTAGGTTCTATTCTCAGGAGAATATCACTAGCACCAATCTCCATGGGCTTCTGGATCAATCCCTGAACATATCGGTCAGAACAGAGCAGACCATTGCATCTTATACGAGCCAGCTAAGTGAAAGTATTGCCATTGGGGTGGCTCTCTCTGCGTTCGATGATCACTCAGCATCGTTTCCCTTGTCAGGCTCATTAGAGCACGGTCATGATGAATGTAACACCGGGGAATAGATTTGACAGGGAAGCTGCATACAACTCTCGATTCATGGCTATTACGTGGGGGAAGTGGGAAGCAAAGTAAGAAGGATTATGGGGCCCAGAGCTACAACGTGGAGTATATTGTGTGACGACTGACTGCATTGATTATTACTGTCCTCATCTGACAGGGACCAAAAAAGATAATTAGAAGAAATTTGATTATCATAGTGGCCCTGGAATGCAAAGGCATGTGTTACATAGTGGGATGATCTTCTAGAAATTATTATGAGAAGTTCCGCGGGCATAATTTCCCAAACAATTCCACTAGATGACGGAATCCACATGCAGATCAACCACGCTTCAAGTTTTGCATGCGGTACGCGCGGGTACTTTTGCAAGACAAATTAGCCTGCTACAACTATATAAACCGACATTCTCTACCCACACGGTGGTTTATGGGTAGGACAACTGTTGTGAAGGACCGGCAGTCAAAGTGCGCGCAAATTGATTCGGTTGATCACAGCGATTTGTCTGCAAACTCCGAACCTCGGCATCCGCGCCAAGTGCAAAAGAAGTGCTAGTCAGATGCTCTGCGTTTGACATTTCCCTATAAATCCACATCGCCCTGCGCTCCATACCGCCCTCTCCAGAGCATCGGAGACTCCCGCATATTTTTTATAGTGCCCGTTATGGCCGACACTGAAAATCCCCCTGATTCTTCTGCGCCCGCCGTTGCCGAAACACCGAATGTGGGGAAATCGGCCAGTCCCGCGGGGGGTTCAGCACCGCGACCATCCTCCTTGGATGTTGCTCAGCGCCAACTGCTAGGAGCCCTCAGGGCAACCGACGTCACCATAGGCCGCTTGGACAAGTAAGTACTTGGCTGAGGTCTCCGTTATACGTGCGGTTCTCTGCTTTTGCGCGACAGGCGTCTCGACCAGCAGCAGTTACCATCATATCCATGTGACTAACTGCGCAATGTGCATAGGCTCATGTCATCGGCCTATGGCCAAGAACGAGTATTTGCTGTCACCGGTTATCTCACCCATGCGCTCCATCACCTCCTCGCCTCCGCACCATGGATTGCCCTCCAAACACGGCTCGGCCTTCTGGCCCGATTGAGATCCAAAACCAAGCCTGTCGCATCTAACTCGACTCCCTCGCAGTCCCGACTGCTTGCCCTCTCCGCTCTCATGTCGGAAACCCGCTATAGCCTCCGGCTCTTGGGCCTCTTCCCTCTCTGGACTTGGGGTTCCGCTACATTGAAATCTCCCCCATCGGACCGCATCCTCTATGCACTTACCCTTCTCCAAGTGGTTGTGAACATGATCTACCAAGCCCTTGAGAATGCTGGCTTCCTAGCTTCCAAGGGAGTAATCTCGAAGAAGTTCATCGACCGCTGGGGCGGAATTGACAAGTGGTATATATGGAGTACACGGGCCTGGTTCGGCCACATCTTCTTCCAGTTCTTCGTGCTGTGGAGAGAGCACGTGCTCCGGAAGAGGAGAATGAGGGGTGAAGTGTCAGAGGAGAAGAAGGAGGAGGCCTTGAAAGCCGAGGTTCGCGCCTGGAAGAAGAGTCTGGTGAATAATACCTGCTGGGCCCCGTTGTGTCTTCACTGGTGTTTCGAAAAGGGAATTGGTTTCCCTGACAGCTTGAGCGGAGTTGTTAGTTTCATGGCTGGGGGTTGGGGCGTTTATGACTTATGGGCCGCAACTGCGCAGTCCTAGACAAACAGGAAATCCGGCTGGACTGAGATCTGTGTATAACTGTGGCTTAGAGTATATTAAGTGGCGCAAACCGGGGATAAAATCTCAAAGATAGAATATAACTTTTCCTAATTTTTAAGAATTCCCTTTACATCACATACTGTCAACTGATTTCCATCGCCTTTCTCCAGCATATATCTATTTGCTACTGTTCTATGCATGAAGCCCTAACTGCACCGAACCTCAGCTCCTAATTCTATCATAAGACCCTGCATGCATAAAACCTCAAAACGCCGATTTAAATGGCAACCAATCTCGAACGATCGCTGAAAAAGACAACCCTACTGCTAACCCAGGTCTTACAGAAACAACCCCGACCCGTCTAGCATATGCCTGTGCTGGGAATTAACAATGTTCTCATAGAACTTTTCTTTCAAAAACCAATCCAGTGGCCAAGCCGTGCTCTCGACAGGTATCAGGCCCTCCTTCGAACCATGCCAAGCAAACATACCAGCATCAACCATCTGCTCACTGCAAATATCATGGCAAGGTAAGCTACTATCCTTCAGACATATCTGAGCCCTCACGTCCACTAGGTTCATAAGTCCTCCTTCAAAATCATATATCAAGTTCCGCTGGTCCACGTCCAGTCCCAATACGAGCATTCCTTGCACCGTATCATGCGGATTGAATGTTTGAACAACGACAGGCGGACTCTTCGGTGATATCTGGTAGAGCATGTAGCCTGATACACATGCCCGGATCATTCTTTTTGTGATGTCGGTGGCTGGGTCTTCTCTTATGAAATACTTGAGTACGGTGGGAAGCATTAACACTCCGTAGACGAAGCGCGGTGAACAGTTTGGCCTTCCGAGGAACTCTGTCAATGTTTCCTCTGTGAAGGTGTTAAGGAGGGCTTGGTTGAAGTCGACTGGGTACCATGGTTTGCACTCCATTCTATGAGGTTGGAGACCCTGCAGGACTGGTTCAGGTGAAGTGGACGCTCATTCCCCGGAGTGATACTCGGGTTCTGATCCTTCTTTGTCGTAATTGTATGTTTGTTGTACTCTTCTATTATTCTTGGGACTCGTGGCGCGATTATAAGGAGTGATGACTTGGACGAACTATGTAATGGTCCGTTGATAGTAGTGTGCTCTCCCAAGTATGAGATACGAATGATATTTCCTTGATAGGCTTTATGATTATGGCGCTTTCCAGTCAATTTTAATGGAAGTATCTTGATATCTAGTTTAAAATGGAAGACTAGTGAATTATTTGGAAGGTATACAACACTTGAGGAGAGCAATGTTAAAGATGGAAAGCACGTTTAGTAAGTATACTGGGTAGTACTGAACAAGTTTGGGATATTAGGGCTTTATACAGCTTTTCAAACCAGGCAACTTTCTATCATGGGCAAAGCCTGACTGAGAAGGCACCTCCATTTGCCTAGTCATGTTGGAGCCTTGGGTTAAAGGGGGTGATATGTAGGGTGAACGAGGCTGGTGCCACAGATGGGCAACAAATGATATAGCCCTTTTGCCTGAGGCAACCAGGCACATCAACAGTGCGGAGTACAGTGTTTAGGTAGGAGAAGTTGGAGTAGGCAAGGAAGATCAGTCAGCATCAACGACTAAAACAGAAGTTAAAGATAAGAACCTTGAAGGCAAAAGCCACTTGGCAACAAAGAACATTTCCGAACCTCAGAGCTTTCCTTATTAATAATATTAATACTAGAATAAAGAAATGAATGATTATATCTTGGAGTTGACCAGTCGATACTTTGGGTAGCTTGTCAGTATGCGACCGGCTTCCATAGGCTTCTGTACTCGGGGCGGTGGCGGCAGTGGCTAATGAGTGAGGAAGTTTGATCTGGCTTAAGTCATCAACAATAGGCAGTTGAGACTATCGTCACCTCTTAACGGGTAGCTGTTTCTGCCACTTCTGATCTCACTTCCAACTCTCTGTCTCCGCTGCATTTTATCAATCCTTCCCCCTTCTCCCATTTGCTCATCCCTCAGACCGTCTATTGCGTTTGCTGGATCCTTTGTCTGTGTTTCATTTTTTGTTCTTTTTTTCTACTTTCCAGTTCCTGTCGTCGGGCATCGTAAGTCCGATACAGTGACGTCCTTCGTACCTTCAGGCCTACCCTGCTTCAAGAGCTTGCTAGATCAGTGATCCATCCCCATTCGCCGTCAAAATGAGCGCAGAACCCGACCACACTCATGATAAGAAGAGGGTGCACCTTCAGTATGCTTCAAGTTCTCCCCTCTTACCGTGATTCATGTGCTAACCGAGCTCAAGGGACGCCTCTGGCGCCGAGAAGAAAGAGGTGAAGATTCATCGCAGAAAGAGAATTTACCGGCCATGACACTGACTGGTCTCGCCACAGGAACTCGATACCGCAACGGCCATCCTAAAGAAGAAGAAGAAGCCCAACTCATTGATGTATGCTAGTATTCCCCACCACTGCTAACAATGGAGGGGATCTCTCGATGGATGCTAATCAGAGCGCTTTCAGTGTGACTGATGCCGTCAACGATGATAACTCCGTTATTGCCCTTTCCAACAACACTATGGAAACCCTCCAACTCTTCCGCGGTGACACAGTTCTGGTTAAGGGCAAGAAGCGGAAAGACACCGTTCTGATTGTGTTGGCGGATGATGATCTCGATGATGGGAGTGCCCGCATCAACCGTGTGGTGAGGCACAACCTCCGTGTCAAGCACGGCGATGTCATCACTGTTCACCCATGCCCTGATATTAAATATGTAGGTACTTCCTGACTACGGCTCGACAGGGCGTGCCAGCTAACCACATTCTGGTATTGTAGGCCAAGCGTATTGCCGTTCTCCCGATCGCAGACACTGTTGAGGGTCTCACCGGCTCCTTGTTCGACGTCTTCCTTGCCCCCTACTTCCGCGAAGCCTACAGACCCGTGAGACAGGGTGACCTGTTCACAGTAAGAGGAGGTATGAGGCAAGTGGAATTCAAGGTCGTGGAAGTGGATCCTCCGGAGTATGGCATTGTTGCACAAGATACCGTCATCCATTGCGAGGGTGAGCCTATCCAGCGCGAGGATGAGGAGGGTAACCTCAACGAGGTCGGTTACGATGACATTGGTGGCTGCCGGAAGCAGATGGCACAGATCCGTGAATTGGTGGAGCTGCCCCTCCGTCATCCCCAGCTGTTTAAGTCCATTGGTATCAAGCCACCTCGCGGTATCCTCATGTACGGTCCCCCCGGTACTGGTAAGACTCTGATGGCTCGTGCCGTGGCGAACGAGACCGGTGCTTTCTTCTTCTTGATCAACGGTCCTGAGATCATGTCCAAGATGGCCGGTGAGTCCGAATCGAACCTGCGCAAGGCCTTTGAGGAGGCTGAGAAGAACTCCCCCGCAATCATCTTCATTGATGAGATCGATTCCATCGCCCCTAAGCGTGAGAAAACCAATGGTGAAGTTGAGCGCCGTGTCGTCTCTCAGCTCCTCACCCTAATGGACGGTATGAAGGCTCGTTCCAACGTTGTAGTCATGGCGGCCACCAACCGTCCCAACTCTATCGATCCTGCTCTCCGTCGTTTCGGCCGTTTCGATCGTGAGGTCGATATTGGTATTCCCGACCCCACTGGCCGCCTGGAGATTATGCAGATCCACACCAAGAACATGAAGCTCGGAGAGGACGTTGACCTGGAGACCATCGCCGCTGAGACCCATGGTTACGTCGGCTCTGATCTTGCTTCTCTCTGCTCTGAGGCTGCCATGCAGCAGATTCGTGAGAAGATGGATCTGATCGATCTGGACGAGGATACTATTGATGCTGAGGTGCTCGACTCCCTTGGTGTCACCATGGAGAACTTCCGTTATGCCCTTGGCGTCTCCAACCCCTCCGCTCTTCGCGAAGTGGCTGTTGTCGAGGTGCCCAACGTTCGTTGGGAGGACATTGGTGGTCTCGAGGAGGTCAAGCGCGAGCTCATCGAGAGCGTGCAGTACCCTGTGGACCACCCTGAGAAGTATCAGAAGTTTGGTCTTTCGCCTTCTCGAGGTGTGCTGTTCTACGGTCCCCCTGGTACTGGTAAGACCATGCTTGCCAAGGCCGTCGCTAATGAGTGCGCTGCCAACTTCATCTCCGTTAAGGGCCCTGAACTGCTCTCGATGTGGTTCGGTGAGTCCGAGAGCAACATTCGGGATATCTTTGATAAGGCCCGTGCTGCCGCTCCTTGTGTCGTCTTCCTGGATGAGTTGGATTCGATCGCCAAGTCCCGTGGTGGTTCTGTTGGTGATGCTGGTGGTGCCTCTGACCGTGTTGTCAACCAGCTCCTGACCGGTATGTGTAGAAGCAGACAATGTATGCGCTTAAATGCATAAGCTAACTTTCATCTTAGAAATGGACGGTATGACCTCCAAGAAGAACGTCTTCGTCATTGGTGCGACGAATAGACCCGAGCAGCTTGATGCTGCCCTTGTCCGTCCTGGTCGTCTGGACACTCTTGTCTACGTTCCCCTGCCCGACCAGGCTTCCCGTGAGGGTATCCTCAAGGCCCAGCTGCGCAAGACCCCTGTCGCATCCGATGTGGACTTGCCCTTCATTGCCAGCAAGACCCACGGATTCTCTGGTGCTGATCTTGGATTCGTTACTCAACGTGCTGTCAAGCTGGCCATCAAGCAGTCTATCACTGCTGATATTGAGCGCCAGAAGCAGCGTGAGGCCAACGGCGAGGATGTCAAGATGGAGGAAGACGAGGAGGTCGACGAGGAGGATCCTGTGCCGGAGCTTACCCGTGCGCACTTCGAGGAGGCCATGAAGTCGGCCCGTCGGTCCGTCAGCGACGTGGAAATCCGCCGTTACGAGGCTTTCGCTCAGAGCTTGAAGAACTCGGGCGGCAGCAGCTTCTTCCGCTTCCCCTCCGCGGGCGAGGTCCAGGACAACAACACGTTCGGTGAAGCCGGCAATGACGACAGCCTCTATGACTAAATTGGGTTTCATGTTTTTTCTTCTAAAGTCTTTCTTAGTTATGTATCGGCACTAGTTAGATCTAGCGGGGCTGATGAGGGTATGGACTGCTAGGAAATACGATTGGTTTCTGCTTCCTTTTGAACAGGGTTTGTCCATCTTTTGTGTCTATCTACGTCTCGCATACTAGATGCCATAATAGTTCTTAGTGGAGGGATGAACTCGACGTTCTAGTTTAATGCATCAATGACTGTTATAGAATCAAGAATGTTCCCGTAATACAGATATTTCCATTGGATTAAAACACTGCCACGGCAAAGGTGGACAAGACCACAAGTTGACGTTGTACATGCACGCCGTAGTGGATAATGGTATCAAAATGCAGCAAACTCCCCACCGTTTTAAACACCAATCTCGCCAGACGACCCATGACAAGTGATCCGAACAAGAATGCCAAAAGCCAGATGTACCCTGAAGAACCGAAAAATGAAAAAGAGAAGGACCAAAAATAAAGAACATATGACGCCCAAGTTCACTTTACCTGTTTTCCAGGCTTCGGCTTCTTATCCGTCTTCTTAACAGGGCTTGTATCACCATTTTTTAGTGACTGGTCCCCTGTCTTCGACGACTTGGATGGTTTAGTCTTCGTTTCCCCGCCGCCCTCTTGCTTCCCATCACCAGTGCTATGGTGCGAATCATGGTGTTCTAACAAATCTGAATCATCATCGAGCACCACCACCTCGCGCAATACCTCTTTGATCGCCCTCACACCCTGCTCAACCACTGCCTCCGGGATCCGCACATCCACTTTCTCAAAGTACCCGTCCGCATCGCCGTTACTATTCTTGTCCTCTTCGTTCACATTGTCCAAGCCTGCTAGCGATGGGTGCTTTCGTCCCTCCGCGGATGCAACCACTGCCTCAACAACATCATCAAATCGCTCGCATCGTCCGCCGCGCAGGAGCTCCTGCGATAGCTTCCGAACCTTTTCCGTCCATCCCATCCGCTGCAGGGAGCAGAGGAGGGTCGCGTGAAGATCGTCTAGCGCCGTGGTGGAGGCCAGGTGCGCGAGGAGGTCCGATTCGAGACTTTCCGACGAGGCTGGGGTTATCCCTGTGCTTTGAGAGGTGGTCATTTTGCCTTGCCTGGGTTCGTTCGTCGGCTCGCTGCTGAATTTTATTCCGATCCCTTTTATTCCGTTTCTAACCAGTCCCCGTTATTGGTCCGTGGACCGTGCAAATCAAGTAAGTAGGCAGGAACACCGGGGCGATGAGGTCGTCGTCGGCGGCGCGTGGACGGCGGCGGGATATAGATTTTCGGTTTCTGCCGATCTGACCACAGCCAGACACCTTCTTTTCCTTAGTTTCTTTTTCTTTTGCCTTTTCCTTCAATAGTATCGGGGGAAATCGTCTCCGGACGGTCCGTTCGTAAACCGAGGCTTGTTGCGACTTGTACTAGTAGGTCTTGAATCCTTTTCGCGATCGAATTGGAATTGCAACGCGGAGAACCTCGGCGGTAGGGCGGAGCGAACGACGGATAGAAGGTCGGTAAGGTGGTTGATGCGATCTTTTCGCGATCGCCGCGTCGCTAGCTTCCTTCTGCTTTTGGTTTGGTCTGGGTTTGCGCACGTAGGTGACGGAGAAAAAGGATTTAGGACTTACGTTGGATTTGTCTTAAAGAGTCCGTGCGAATTGCGCGCGCGTTGAGAAGGTGGAGATTTCAACTCTTTGGGGGCATTTGGAAAAATGGAAGTGGAGAGAACATGAAAGGTGACAGGGGTTTCTCGTAACGGGGGGGCGTATGATGACTACATTGTGGATTGCCACTTAGGGTTGGAGAGATAGGTGTGAACAATAGAACATAGGGGGTTTGGAATGGATTGGAATGGGTATTGGGGTTGGTTAATTGGGATTTCTTTCTTGGAATTGAATTGAACCGATTAAATTTTATATATGGGGTAGGGTTGGGAGTGGGTTATCGCTGTTGGTGGGTGTCGTATCCCGGTATCTAGATAGGTGTACGTATATATTACTACTATTGTCAATTTAGTGGGTGGTGGTGTTCATTTATTGATTATTTATTGATACCTTTTGACAATGTGAATGATTTGCCATGGTACATATTAGATAGATCAGTATGTCTAAAAGCTTGTGGTATATATAGCTGCAATGGATCACATATCCACATCACTTTTGGACAGCTATACCCTAATGCTTCATAGAGTTCACAGTACTACCAGAATGTTGCTCATGAGAAATGGTAGTTTATCCTACGAATACATCTTCATAATTGTGAACTGCACAATTATGACCACAAAGATTAAAAGAAAAATCGAACAAGACTAAAAAAAGGAGTAAAAGACTACTTCAGTAGTGCAATGCCAGTCATCGAGACCCAGGCGCACGGATACACCACTATCGGAAAGCTAGGAGAATAAAATAGAAGAACGGGGAAGACCTTGTCCGGGTTACTAATTAAACAGAGGTTAAATAGTTTCCAAGGGCATTCCACGGGTCAAGTACAGCCACAGGCTAGTGCAACGGTTCTCTTGAACAGGTGTTTGCGTGTTCTCTGCGGATGGCTGGCAGGATTGCATCGCAAGGGGAGGGGGGGGAGTCCAGTCCCTATTACCATACATAGTGACCTATAAGCGTTGAGCGTTCGCACGGAACGAACTGAGTACCAGGGGTCCTGATGGGCGAGTGAAGCATGTAGCTGACGACTGGCGCTTGGAAGGATTGCGTCGGTCGAATGCCCATCAAATACATTTTTTTATTTTCAATAGCGTGCACAGTTTTCTCTATTAAAGCTACCCCATACGTCGTGCGGTTCCGGAGTACGCCGTCAGGATCAATAATGATTTCCGTTTCCATTTACTAGTTACAGGAAAGTCCTAAGTAGTTCTGCCTAGAGAAAAGATTGTACGGAGTAAGAACTAGACGGGAATGGCTAAAGGCAGATACTAGTTAACTTTTTTTTTATTTTTATTTTTATATTATTTTTTTTTTTGATTATTTATTTTCCACAGTGGATTCTGACAGCGGAGCATTCGGACCCTCCCAGCCGCCAAAAGCGTTAGGCGCTCCGACGCTATTGGATTTTGACAGCAGTCTCTTTTCTTTCTCAATCGTCCATTCCATTGTCTGCAGGAAAATAGTTCGCTTTTGCCCTGTGGGTTTTGGTTTTGGGCTTTCTCCTGAACAAATACTTTGTAGCATCTTTTCCCTGATTTGGTCGATGAATTGATTAGATCGATGATCTCGGTTAAGGATTTTATTTTATTTTATTTTTAACATCTGCCCCTGAGTATGGGCTGATATTGATATCGAGTTGAACTATCAATTATTGTGGTATTTTAGTTTATCATATTTTCTCCGTTCACCTTTCTGGAGAGTACTCGGAAGAGTGTGGTTGTGTGTTCGTTCGATACACACCCTGTTGATCATTGAGGGAGAGGGGGTCTCTGATCAGTGGATAAATAGAAAGTGTGAAAGCCAATTATCTAGACAAGTAGGAATAGAAATAGTCCCTTACGAGAAGGACTGGTGTCGTAGGATGGTTAGGATATGGCTGGGGAAGATCCAAATGCAAGGATGCGAGATTGTCCACCAATACATTTTGTATGGGTAGATTAATGGTAGCATTAGAATTGTGTTCTTCGAGGTGGACTGGGCATGTGTCATTTCATTGCATATCCCCTGGCTATAGTCTTCTGATATATAACAAATGAGAAAAAAAGAAAATAAAAATAAAAACCAAGCCTACTTTGGACTAAGACAGGAATTTTCTTAAAATCAATAGTGACTGGTACTATAAAGTCAAGTTTATCTAGTGATTCATGTATATCAGGGACTTGGATACAGTGAAGTGGCTAAACCATAATATAAGTTATTGGATCGAACATCGAGAGAAAAATAGAAACAGTATCGTGAAAATAAAAAGGAATAATATATTTTGGTTTTTGTTATTTTTTAAATAAATAGATAATGATAATCATCGACTGGAAAGGTGGATAAAAAAGAGTCCAGACCAGCATCACGTGCGGCGATCCAACTCTAGGCTGGCGCTTCTGGTCTGTTGCCAAACTCAAAAAGAGCTCCTCCTCCAGCAAGAAGACTAGAAAGATCACTTCGGACTTCCCTTTCCATTCTCTTCTTTTTTTTCTTTTTTTGGATTTACCGGCCCGGGTTTATTATATTATTTTATTTGCTTTTACCTTTCTTTCTTCTGCTCTTCGTTCATTCGTTTCATCCTTGTTTTTGTTGTTGTTTTGGTTGTTCTTGTTCTTGGTCACTACTAACACTGCGTGTGTTTGCTCACTCAGCCTCTTTTTCACCCTCTCGTGCCCTAATCTTCCTATTCAGGAGAGGATCAGTCTTTCCCCCCAAAGCAACTCAAAGCTTCCCCGCTCTGATTTTAGTCCCCATCATCTCTCATTGCATTGCTGGCCTAACGACGAACGAATCTCCGTCACGACTTTTCGATCTCCCTCTTTCTCCTTTCCCTTTTCATTTCTTCATTTCTTCTTCCTTTCTGGGTTTTCCTTGTTCATATAAATTGGGGACTCTTTTTTTTTTTGTTTGGTTTCCGGCATTCGAGGATTGGTTTCGGTTCTTTGACAACTGCTCGGCGCTATTTCGATATCTTTCCCCCAGCCGCCCGTAACCGCCATTCGCCCCGTCCATGTGGCACGCTTTCTTGGCTGAGACTTCTTCAGCTGCCTATTTGATTTCGATCTCCTGATTACGATCGTGAATGATCTATCTCCAGTCTCATTATCCACCGCTGAAAATACTCTCGTCTCCTCCCCTCCCGTCTTCGTCTCTGCTTCCCCACCGGGCCGACGTCCCCTCCGACCCCTTCGTTGTGTCGTGTCGGTCCTTATCCTCGAGGAGTCAATCGCCATCAACATGTCTCTCCACACTTCCTACCACGCCGACTCCGATGCCGACGACGAGTACGAGCGCAGCGTCATCACGTCCCCCCACTTGGCCACCGATTCCGAGGCGTCTCCCTCCGAATCCGACTTCCCCTCTTCCGAACAGACTCCAACCACCTTTGCAAATGCCGATGAACATCCTAAATCCCCCAGAACCATCATCACCGAATGGACAGTCGAAGAGTGCGCCCACTTTCTTGCCGCCCTCGGTCTCCGTCAATATTGTCCCGCCTTCCTCGGTGAGTTCGACTGCCTGGAAAGAGGAGTAGGGAAAGAATCGTCCACTGATGACTTGCAGAAAATGAGATCGTGGGGGAAGCGCTTATTGCTCTGAAACATGATGAGTTGAAGGAGATGGGGATTGCTAGCGTGGGGCATCGATTAACTATTCTCAAGAGTGTCTATGAAACAAAGGTGAAACAAGATATTCCGCTAGATGCAGACCATTATATTCCTCTCTGTATGTCTCTCCACTCCCTTTAGGGAAGTCATGTTTAACGGTTCCCTGTTCCACCTTACTAATATTCATTCTTCTTGACAGCGGCGGACCAAAGTATGAATGAAACTGCGTCACAGGAGGATGTCGCTCGTTTAATCCAGTCCATTCGGTTGCGAGATGAGCGTATCGTCACCGTGGAGTCTGAGCTGCGCCGTATGGCGGAGGACTATCGTCGGCTGAGAGAGGAGCTTCTGCCGGTTTTCAAGATGGCCAAGGACCGTTCGCAACCGTTGCCCCCTCCCACATCCATGGCAAGTTCGGGCCCCGACGGATACCACGATAGTCAGCAGACGCTGGTGTCGCCTTCTGGGATCACTCTCCTGGACCGCTCAGCTACCCTCTCTCGACAAATTTCCAAAAGGCTTCACACGGGAGGCACCACCCCCAAGAACAATTCCCCTACTCATATCCCACCCTCAATTCATGAAGGCCGTATGTATCACGACAATGGCGTGCTAGACCCCTCAACGGCGCTCTACTCGAATGGAAAGTCGCAGTTGTCTCCAGGAATCCCGTCTCCCACCTCTCCAGGCGTCCACTATACCGCAGCGCAGACTTTGGGGTCTCGATCATATCAACCCACTTCCAACACTAGCCGTAGCCCCTACGACCACCACGACGACCCCTCAACATCGCAAAACCGTGAACGCTTGAATCCTACACCAACACAACCAAACCGTCCCGACATCCCGACCCGATCAGATTCCAGAGCTGGCAATGGTAGTGGCAATGACCCGCCGAGCGTGGAAATATTCAAGTCATTCCGTGTCTCCATGGAGGATCCCTGCTATAAGGTTCTTCCCGCTGCATTGAAGAAGTACAATATCAATGCCGACTGGAAGCAATATGCACTGTATATTGTGTATGGCGACCAAGAACGTTGTTTGGGCTTGGAAGAGCGGCCGCTCATTCTCTTCAAGCAGCTGGAAAAGGAGGGACGGAAACCGATGTTCATGTTGCGAAAGCAACTGCAGCACCCCGAAAGCAGCTATCCGCCAGTCAATCCTGTGCCTAACAGTGCTGGATTTGAAAGCAGACAGGCACAGATCAATTTACCCGGCGGAGTGCTGTGATCTGTCTGTTATGGGCGCCGTGGGACATATCTCCCCGCTGCAGCGTCAGCTCTAAATGAGATTCGTGACATTGCTCTCTGTTGCTTGAGATACCCCTTTCCAAGTAATCACGTTTCATCTTTTACCTTCTTCTTCTCATCTTTCGGTGCCTTAATTGCTCTTTTGACCTGAAATCTTTAGTTTACAGGGTGTTTGGTGTTTGTGTCGGTGTTTGGGCAATTGAGGAACGGAAAAAGCAAAAGACTTGAGCGTGGTAATCTGTTTTACTTTACTCTTGTGTTTGGGTCCTATATTCATCTTCACTTCTTTCTCACTTCTTTTCTCTGGATAAATTTTAACTATATCACTTCCATTCACATATTCGCTTCATTCTACCTGTGGCTTTCTATTAGCGTTTCTGATCTTTTCTTTCTTCACCTCTTTGGATCCTCGAGATCACTCTTCTTGTTTCATGAACAAACAAGGTGCATGCATGGACTTCTGATGTATTATCATACCATACCATATTATATCCTCTCTTATATGAAACAATATTATATTTGACCGAGAAATTTGTCCGAATCTAACTCTGAAGGAAGTACATATGTACATATATATATTCCTTATCTATACTATGGTACGAAGTGTATACTGTGGGGAGGATATTATAAAACTAAGCTATAAAACCAGCTGCAAATAAGCTAGTGTCTACGGTGTATATACCCTGTTTAAAAATAGAGCCGTAGCCACCCTTGTGCGACAGAAAAAAAATTATCGAAGATCATGAAAACAGAACGATATAATTGGATATCGAACAGAGAAATAATTAAAGCCAGAAACGAACGGCACCCAAAAGAAAAGAAGCAACTAGAATAATTAAGTTACACTGAATCAGGAAGCTCTATACACAGCATGAAAAGACATGCATAACACATGCAATAGGCGCTCAAGAATGCAGAAAAAAAAAAAAGAGAAAAGAAAAAAAGGGACAACTGATCAACCAACTAGACAACAGTATGATAAAACCTGGACTCTAACTTGTGGCTGTTCTCAGACCGCAGGATTATCGCTTTGCTTCTGCTTCTGCTTCTGCCCTGCCTCTTGTTTCTTGACTTTCTAATTGTTATTTCTTGTCACACCGCAACTGTTCGTTTCCCCACCGCCCCTCCTTATATTTTTTTTGTTTTGTTAATTTTTCTTTTCTTGTCTTAACGGTTCATTAGCTTGATGCATGTCTCTTCAAATTTTCTTTCTTTCTTTCTTTTTTTTTTGTGGGGGTATGAGTTGTTCAGATCTCTTTAAGCCTCCCGGCCTTTCTCTCCTCCCCACGAGATTGAGCGCTGATGCGCAGAGCTCGAGGAACTCGAACCGTTCCCTTGGTTGGAGTTACTTCCATTTCCACTATCGGAGGGCTTCGTCCCTTCTACAAACTGGACTTTGCTGCCGACACGACGGAACCCTGTATTGTCCTCGCTATCCGATTCCACCGCGGCATCCGACTCATCGGAATCGTCCGAGTTCAGTTCACCAAGAGCGGCGAGACGACGACGGCGTTCCGCAGGTGTTTCTCCCGTGTCATCATCATCTTGCTGAGGTGGACGCGACAGGCCAGCTGCTTCTCGAAGTTGAGCCGGGGGCACACGCTCAGTGCCATCGTCTTCAGAGTCTCTGCGTGAGCGAGGGCGAGTGGAGGGGTTGAGAGTACTGCGACGCTCCTCTGCTGCCGTGCCACGGGTGAACCGGGCCAATGAAGCAGCAATATTGTCACCAGGCACCCCTATATCAGACCCGTTGCTTGACCCGCTGCTCGAGATGGATGCAGGTCGGGCAGATGTTCCTTGATGTTGTGTGTCTTGGGCAGGACCGCCAGCAAGAGACTCTTTGCGCTCCGCGTCCCGAGCTTCGTCCCGGGCAACTTCCTTGACATGCTGGGGCGCATCTGTCTCTTCCACCAGATCGCGACGAGCTCTGGGACCAAGGTTGCGGAGTTGCTGGACGAATTCATGCTTGTTCATTCTGCGACCCTTGTGGCTAACGCCCTTCTTATCAATGTTGTCATCGTCGGCCACGGTGAATCGAAGACCATCGTCTGCTAGCCAGTCATCCTCGGCTGTCTTCTTCTCGGCCTGCGATGGCTCTCCTTCACCGTCCATGCCAAACCAGGTTCCCATGCGGGTCAATCCACGCCGGACGGGCGCTCCTGTCTCCGGTTTGTCGGTTGAAGGGATAGAGTACTTCTTGATCACCTCTCCATCCTCATCCTCGACGATGATCGTGTTACCGAACTGATATGCATGAGCTGAGCGAGACTTGCCCTTGGATTTCTTCTCAGCAGCAGGCTGCTGCTGCTGCTGCTGCTGCGTCGCCGGAGCCTTTTCGACTTCTTGGTCTTCCGCCTCTTGGGCGCGACCTTTTCCGAGTCCAATCCACTGACCAAATCGCTTGCGAGCTTTTTCCAGAGGGTGACCGGTCTTCTCTCCCAGAGCTTCTTCGACCTCCTCTCCCTCTGACCTTGCGTGTGGCCGGCTCCTGGACTTGGCAAACTCTCCCGATTTCTCCTGTAGCAGCTTATCACGCTGTGCTTCGATGTGTCGCTGTCGCTCCTCGGGTGTTATATGACTAACATCTTCTGTCTTCAGAACATTTCCTTCTTCATCTTCAATGATCATATGATGGCCTTCCAGATAAGCTTCCACAAGTGGCTCTCGTCCGAACTGATCACGTTCCTTGGACGGTGGAGAGCCTTCTCGTTCAATTTTGTCGCGCTCCTCTTCCTCCTCTGCGTCTTCACTCTCCACAGGCCGTTGAGGTGCAATCGCCGACTGACTGATAGGACCACCCGCCCCAGAAACGTGCCGACGGCGTCTGCGGGGTCTCCGACTTGACGTCCTACCGGTAGGCGACTCTGTATCTTCATCCCGAACCCGACGCAGGAAATTACCAGGAACACCGATCGGGGGAAGAGTACCGGGGGGATACTCCTGTTCGTTCGAAGACGCATCCGTATCATCCGGCTTCCTGAAGGACATCGAGCCTTTCGCTATAGACTGCACACGAGGCAAACGATTCATCCATGATGGACCCTCATCATTTGCGGTGGTGTAAGACAGCGTGATGGTCAGGGTGTTGATGCGCTTTCCGAGGGTGAACACAGCGATCGACGAACCATGGACTAGAATGGACGAGATGACCATAAAAGTCGTGATGGGCCAGATGAGTTGGACGATATAATAATCGGCCGTACCAGCTTTCGGTAGCTCCGCCTCTGTTAGGGGCTGCGTGCTATCCGTTTCTAATTCAGCTCGAGCCAAGATGGCGGCGAAGATGGCACCGACACCAATGGGTCCGAAATGACCAGCGAAGAGTGCCTCACGCCAAGTTTTCACATCCGGTATGATTGGTTTCAGGATTAACATAATGGGAATACGGCGGAAAAAGATGACCAAGATGGCGATCACAACAAGCCTCCATGGGACAAGGCCGAGCTCCGGTGCATTGTACGTTTCCCAGGGGATAATGGATCCAAAGTACACGAAATACGCCAAGTTCAGCAGAAGGTCGATAACGTTGGATACGTGAGACTCTTCGGTTTTCTCCGTGAACCATCCATCATTACTGAAACCCACACCTGCCGCGAAACCTATCAAAAGGTCGTCCATACCCAACAAGCTACCAGAGCCGGCGCAAAAGACGGCCAGCACAAAGTAGAAGACGAGAAAGCTCTCGCGGTCAATCAGCTGTTTGCGTTCGGCAAATTTGATTGAATGACGGGCGAAATAACCAATGAGGAAACCGTAGATGGCGCCAAAGATACACTCGTATAAGATTGTGACGCAGAACCAGTTCAGGGACACTTTTCCCGCGTCTGGACGGTAACGTAAAATGTAGAATGATAGGTAAATGAACGGAAAAGCCATACCGTCATTGCAGCCAGACTCAGCCGACAACAGGTCTCGCAAATGCTTAGGTACACGCTTGGCGAATTTACCTTTACCGACAACTGAAGACGCCAGCACAGGATCCGTGGCTGTCACACAAGCGGCGCACACAAGACTCTCCAGCCAGCTGAGGGGAGGAACCATCCACCAGATGAACAAGCTGGTAATAAGCCAGCCCCAAGTCATGACCGGCACCAGCAGTAAGAAGACGGACTTCCAATGACGGTTCATGTATGATTTTGGCAATTCGACACCGACAGCAAAACACTGGACGACCAGGACGATACGAGAGCACTCAAGAGTGATCTTGTCAACATTTCCCCATTCGTGGGGATTGAAGAGATTGGCCGCATGTGGCCCGAAGATGATTCCGCAAAGAGTAGCGACTGTTGCTTCACCGATGTACAGTTTCTCCTTCACAAAGAGCGAGCAAAGCATGAATAGGCCGGTGAAACCGCCCAAGATCATGTAAGCTAAATGAGGCTTATCAATATCCAAATGATGCCACGCCATGATGTTAAAAGGTGCCCGGGGACCGCGACCGCGACCGTCGTCTGTGTGTCCTTCCGCGACCCTTGGCTGTGTTCTCTGTGCCTTCCTCGGTATTCCCTTTTTAATTTATCTTGTAAAAAGGGACTATCGCAAAGGTTATCCGACCGGTCGGACTGCGAGGGACTCACTCAATAGAAATGCGCCTCGTGAGATAGGGAATCCGACGTTCTCGGCATAACTCGGGGAGGGGTGTTAAGTCCGAAACGATGACGGATGAGGCGGGCGAAAGCAGGGCGGATACTTTTTCTCCCAACGTGCCTTCCCTTGCTGCGTCCTGTAAGGGTGAAAACGCTTAGTTGAGCGAATACATGCGATTGGAAGGAAAACACAGAACTGGAGACTACCAGATCGAACAAGAAAATAGAAAATTAAAAGGGAATATAAGGGGCGGAAGGCGAGGTAGGAACCAGAGTTGGTTCGAGTGCCAAGTGAAGGGAAGAAAGAAAACGTTTGATTGGCGAGGGTAGAGACTTACCAGATTGGGCAACGGCTACTCCGGCTGAACAAGAAGTAGTAGTATATGGAATATACACTCCAATGAGGTGTACAAACCAGGAGATGCCTTCTGAAGGGAAGGAGAAAAAGAAGAATAGAAGGATCAGATACCGAGAGGAAAGACGGGACAAGAGAAGACAAGAAAGAGACAAGCGAAGGTCAAGCGAAGACAAGAAATGACCAGAGGCAGGACAAGACTCTGGGCACTCCAGAGAACGAGGAGAGAAAATTCAAGAAACAAAGACTAAGACCGAGACCCAGGCCAAGACCATCATACTGGCGCTTGATTTGATCTGGAGAAGGAGGTAATGTCTTCAGTATGTAATACTGCGCTCGGTTCTGGAAAGCGTGGGAAGATCCTCTGCTCTGGGCGGCGAAGATTGCAGGGAAGAAAGCAAATCAGATCCGCGACTGAGAGGAGGTACCGGCGGGGATTGGCAAGTCACGGACCCACCGGCTCATTCGCGGAGCGAACAATTTTTGGCCTTGGCGGGCGGACGCACTCCACCAGCTGGAAAGATTACCGGTATTATACCCACAATACCACTAGTAGCACGGTCGCAGTTGGATAATTACGTATGTTCCCCTACTCTCCTTATCTCCCGTACCTGAGAACGGCAGGATTCCCGACTACTATATACTACACGGAGTAGGGACTACCCCCGGTACAATCCTTTGATTGATACCTCAGGTACAACATTGTTGGACGGAGTAGTAGTCACTACTAGCAGTAGTACGTGTTACGGGTCCCCAGGATATGGTCAACTGAAGGGATCAATACTAGTGTCGAGAATCGAGAATCGAGAATCGAGACCTATCCACTGCATAGATCTGCAGCTCTTCGTCATTCTCTCCTTCCCTCAACTCACTCCAGAGTCGACCACATGGCGTTCACCGTGACAAGATCTGTGAGGTCCCACGCTAAGCATATTTACAGTACTGTCCCACCTGCAGAAGGTTGATTCTTCGATCTCGAGAAATCGGACATGTTTGTGAAATTTTTTATGGATCTTGCTTTTTCGTAATCTCCACGATATCGGCCCCTATCCATGGTCACTGAGCGCTTTATCAATTCCCGGCTTAAATTAAATCCTAATAAATTGGGGACCTGGGATGTGCCCAGCCTTGCAAGGCTGCCAAGGGCATTTCCTGATGCTCAGATTGGTTGGCACGAAACAAGAACAGACTCCACAGTGGAGACCACAGTCACGCTTTCACCCGCCGACCCTCGTGTTGGCTTTGTATGGCCGGAAGAGATTTGCCGGGTAGTCACACGCTATGCATGGTGCATATGTCTATGAACTCTGGTTTGGAGTACATTAATCCCATTCAACGGTAGTATGGGATCTGTCAGATTCCTTTCTACCTAGTGCAGTCAATCTTATTGATGTATCGGCTCATGTTTCTCACTCCCAACAAGCAGCCCAACCACATTCCAAATTAAAGGTATCAATCCTGGTGGTCCCGGAGGGCCACGAAGAGACTTCAAACAAAAACAATGCAGTAAGCGAGGCAAGATACATCGCAAAAAGACCGCTTCAGAAACATCAGGCTAAACACATCGCGTACTCTCCCCCACGCAATCGTCGGCGACGGCGGCACAGAGAAAAATAGACTCATACACATAGACACGCAACTAAAAAAAAAAACTTAAAAAACGTCTAGACCGGTCGCCTGCAATGGTACAATCATGTCCATCTTCTCAGTCACCCAAAGGCATGCCTTCGACTTGGTCACTCAATGACCGCCAATTATCTGCCTGCAGCTCGGCATACTTGACCCGCTCCTGACTCCAGTCCTGGTGAAGTCGGCTAATATGATACTGGCTCTGCTGGAAATATACTATTTCGTCGCGAATGCATTCTTTGATGAAAACACCGCGCGCATGTTGTTGTACAATCGACTCCTTGTCCTGCAAGTTCAACAAACGCGACGTCAGTAGATGATGGTAAAATAAGGCGTGGAAGAAATACGCACCTTGAAGATTGCATCCTCTACCTTCTCGATCTCTCCAGGTTTGACGGTACCTTGAGGGCTTCTTAAAGCTTGTAGCTTCCTCTCGTTGTTCTCGATGCGCCGCTCTAGTTGAGGAATATTGTTCCGCGCGTAACGGTCTCGGCGGTCGAACATTTCCCGCACACTGACCAGACAGTCTCGCTGGCGCTTCAGGTCCTCCAACACGCCCTCTTCCCAGGCACGTGCCTCATCCTCCAACAGGCTTTGGCTGACAGAGAGATGATTGGCAGTGGCTTTGATACCTTCATTAAGTAAAGGAACGTCGTTGGTATCAATCGCGTACGTGTCTCGAGTCACCTCCGTGAGGGATTGAAGGGCGAGCGAGAATCGCAGGTGGTCAGCCGCAAGGCCTTCATTGCGCTTGGCCAGACGCTCAAGTAATGTGCATAGGTTGATGTAGATTTCCGCAGACCTCTTTACACCGCTCCTGACGGTCTCGAATGTGTCCGGAAGGGTAGAAGGCAGGGAGTCTTCCAGATCAGGGGGAAGGACTCGCCCAGTAAATTCATCTTGCACAGAAATCGTGGCTTGCTTCCGCCACACGGACAGTTCCTAGTATCAGGTCACTATTAGCCATACTTTGCAACTCTCCTTGGAGGCTTAACTAGTGCTTACAGTAGGGACAGTTAGGAACATGATCACGAGCTGCTCTTGGCTAAGGACGGGGTGTCGGACAAGGGCATTGGTAAATCGGACGAGTCCACGGCGACGTTTCTCGAGAAATGCATTGGAATCCGCTGCAAGGTGAGTGCCATTGACTTAGATTTGCGGAAAAAGGTGAGTAAGCTTATTTTAGAAAGCTTTTGCTTTGACATACCTGAAAGTCTCTTCGGTGGAAGAAGAGGAAGCTGTCGAAACGGATACCGTTTTTGGAGACAGTCCAACAGCCAAACAAAATCACTGTATCGCCGTACCACTGTGCTCCCCCTACGAGCGGACTTTACCTCATAATTGCGATGCTGGAACATGAACATCCCCTCCTTCTCCGGGAGTAGCGTTACCGTCACGAGTTCTTCCACCGGCGGACTTGCTACCCTACCTATCCCCAGTGACCGCCGACGGGGATTTGAGTCGCTGTGATCACTACTAGGAGGGCCAAATCCTCCAAGTCCAGCCCGGGCTGTTGCTCCAAGCCCACCATCACTCGGGGTATTGCCAAGACTTTCACCCCATCCAAATCCTGAGCCATGGGACGGCGCAGGATCTGTTTGGCCATTCAAGCGGTTGGTGTTCGAAATTTCATTGGGGTTATTGTCCTCACCGGCTCTACTAGACCAAGCATTAGTAGCGGACCGAACACTACCATAGCCATTCAACACGGGATGGTCGGATTCGAGTTGTGCGTGGGCATGTCCGCGATGCAGCTCTGGACTACCCCAAGGGTCGGACTCGAAGCCTGTCATCGATTCTCGTCGTGACCGTCGTGAGTGAGCTGAGTGGGGCGCTTGCTGGGGTGACGCAGGGCGAGGTGGAGTAATCGGCCGCTCTTGCGACGTCGCAGGGGTGCCGGATTCCTGCTTTGCGCGCAACGCATCAAGGTATAAGCTTTTCGGTGGGGGGAGCTCTGCGGTTAAACTAGGTTAGAATTTAAGCAATATACTAGGGTCGAATGTATCTTTACTCTTGCGCCTGTCATCGACTGCATCTAATGTAAGATCTTCCCCTTCTTGCGCAAGGCCCACGAGTGCCAGAAGAACGTTGAACTCGCCACGACCCAGTCCATTTACACTATCGATATCACCAGAAACAACAATGTTGAGGATTTTTTCTTGGTCAGAGGCACTGACCCCGCTGCCGGACAGAATTTCCCTGACTGAAGTCAGTCCAACACCGGCGCCAACGCGATCGCCTGCACTGAGGACTAGGTCGTAGGCATCGATATAACTCTCGGGGGCATCCGAGTCCGATAGCAAGGTCTTCACGAGCTTATGCCTGGCAGTCCTCTTGTTGACATTGCTATTCCACGGTGAACCGGATCCCACGTCGTCATCGTCGGCGAAAAGGGAGGAGGAGCCCAGGTTGGCATTGCTACCAGTACCTAGAGAGGGTTCGTCGGCGAAGAGCGAAGACTTGGACCTATGAGCTGAATTGCCTGCCGAGGAGTCCTCGGGTGATGTGCCGAACAAGGACATGGAGGGAGGGGGCTTCTATGAGGGAAAGTGCCGGCTAAAAGAGGAGGTGTTGATCCAACGGTATCCCGTTATGCAGCGGAGTTCGGTCGGAGGCGGGAGAGATAAGGTAGGTGATGATGTGATGGGACCAAACAACAGTCAACCCCCACTGGTAACGACCCCAATACCAAGGTTTGATTGTGCAACTGAGCAGGGATAATAATTAAATCTGAAAATAGAAACACATTAGAATGAGAAAAAGACCGGCTTTTCCTTGAATGGCACTTTCTGAAGCAAGAGCCACGAGATGAAGCTGCAGCAGTCAGTTCTTGGAAGTGAGGAGAGGCGGAGAAGCTCTTTGGCAGATGGTCCACTGATGGCACTAAGCAACTTTGGGCCACACCTGTCCACGGCACTCTCCAAGATGTTTGTTTGTTATACTTCTCAGTTATTGATGTTTTTTATATTATATATTTTATTTTGCCCATTTTGTCCTTTCTTTTGAATGTCTGAATTCTATTGACTCATATATCCGCTGCTTTATAAATACATTTCTCATATCATAATTTCTATAACGGACCAATTCCATTGGGTATCTATACATCAAATTCCCCCCTCGCTGGAACTCTCTGTTGCTGCATGGTCATTGCATTCTCTGCCAGGTTCCGCGCACGTAACCACAAAATAGCCATTCTGTACTAATAGATCCTGCCAATCTTGCCCACCCGTGGCGAGAATAAGCGTAGGATTGACATCAGGAGGAAACCATCGCTCTTTTCGTGTTTCGGCTTTGCTGCCACCCTCAAGTGCCGCTCGACTCGCCCTTGTTGTTCGCGCCCTCTTCGAACCCTGCCCATTCTGAGAGAGTAATCCGCTGAGTTGCATCCGATACTGCTCGAGGCGAAGATCAAAGGCGATAATCGCACGCACGTACGGACCAAGGTCTTCACTGATAGGTCGTAGTCCATTTTCGAACGATGGACTCAGCCGTCCTGTTGGAAGAGGGAATACATATTTGGCTCTCATGACTGGCTCAAAGGCTCTAGTAAATTCGGCCTGCTGGGACTTGGTGAATTTTGGTTTGGTGACGTTTTTTAGGACTTTCTCCGCTTGCAATGATTCGACGTTGGTTTCGTGACATGGCCGGAAAACCCTGCTTAATAAAACCTCAAATGTACTTGCGATGCTTGTAGACAATGACGAGTGATCGGGCACGACATCGGCGTGCAATAGGGGATAGCCGTCAACATAGTTCGCCTTTTGCTTCTCCGGCATTGGAGGGATAGAAGTATCGACAGCATCCTACTAAAAGTCAACATGTGTGCAAAGTAAGCGGCCTATGACAGCGACTTACTAATCTGAGATCAAGTGAACAATCAAGGCTTAGGACGTCAAGAGCACTTCTCATATCCATGAGGTTGGACTGATATTGTAGTCTGTCAAGTCGTTCTTTGTTTGACGCAGCCGGTGCAGCATGCGCCAAATCCGTATCTGGCATTCTTTCCGCATCCTGCAGACTGAGATCCCACCAAGAGCAGGCCTCTTGTTGCGATTCGACCTCACTGTCTAAGCCTTTAATTAACAGCATGTCACGGCTGAACCAGCCCATGAACGGTTCGTACGAGTTCACGCTGATCACTCGGAGCGGAAAACCGTCCTCGTCCACATCGGAACCTCGGGGCCATCTGTCAATCATCCAATCAAGACCAGACTTTTCACTACCGATAGCCATTTGACACCAGAAGTTCAGTTCTGTGATTGTTCGACGTAGATCCCCGCCAGTGCTAATGAAAAGGTCGTCAATAGCCTCGCGTTTCAGCATATGACCTTCATTCGCAGCTAGCAGAAGACAATAATCAACGACAAGGTGCCGAGGTGGGGAACGGTATCTGAGAATGGCGTGAAAAGATATATCCCCTAGTGGGATACGACTCTCATCATTACAAGTTATGATGATAGGACGTTTTGATTGGTTGATTAGCGCTAATACTCCTGACCAAAACTGCTTGTCTTCCTCAAATAGAAGGTCCGCTTCCTCCAGAAGAATGAAAGATTGTTTCTGACTTCGGGCACATTTCTGGTCTGGTTGTTTATCCGTCTCTTGCCTTTTAGCCTTTCTATCCTTGCTAGCACCGGCAGCCGTGGACTTAAAGAAGCCCATCAGTTTATTCTGTTTTGGATCGTAGGCTTCGTCTTTCGGAGAGTCAATATCGGAGAATTCGCGGCTGGGTTCCTCGTTGTTACCATTCACATTATGCACGAGGTGATTTCGAGTCATATCACCAACGCGGTCCAAAATGTCCCTGGCACTGCGGCGGTTACCCGGATTGATCTCGAACACCTCAAAATCAAGCTCCTTTGCGGCCGCGTAAATGGATGCAGTCTTTCCAGATCCGGAAGGGCCACTTAGAAGTATAGCATTAGACACGCGCCCCTTTTCTAGAGTTAGATCGCCAGACCGGATAAGTGTTCTCTTGGACGACACTGTTACACCACCCGCTAGCTCATCTTCTGATTCATCGACTTCGCCCAGTTCAGATGCCTCGTCTGCACTGGAAACGATGAATCCATCTAGATTTTCCGTTTTCTTGCGCTTCTTTCGTTTCTTTTTGTCCAAGTTTCGTTTGGCCTCTCCATCTTTGGAGGCTTTACCTGTGTCGACAGCAGACACCATAAGGAATCTCAGCCAATCCCGCAGCATGGAAGCTTCCCTGGTTGTCTGGAGCACTTGCCCAGCTGAGGATGGTGCATACTTTTGTGTCCAGAGACAATTGTCGCACTCCCCACGGTCGAAAGCAGTCATCGAATTTGGTATAGAGGTGTATAGTTTGGCAATAGCCGGATGACATGTATCACTGAGAGTGTAGCTATCTGGATTCGATAAGGTAGACTGGGATAACTGTCCGGCTATTGCTTTTTGTAGGATGTTCCCGCTAGCAACATGTCTCTTAGGTATTCGTAAGATTTTGGCAGGCTCCTGACAAAATCCTTGCATCTCCGGCGACAGCACGCTCTCTTTGTTTTGAATGCTAATAGCAACCATCTTGGACTTCTTTCGATCCATATTTGGTGAATACTGAAAATCAGGTTGTCCTGCTTGGCTTCCACGGACATGGACAAAATCTCGTGGAGGCCATACGGGCTGCATAGGTTCTGGAAACTTAGAACCTCGCTGTGTAAAGGGGGTGCTTATGGTAGTCTTAGTGACTCCTAAACTTGATGTTGAAGACTTGTGAGACGGTAGTGGGGCCTTCATGACCCCTTCGTCCCCTTTATCGACCGCTGTTGAATTTTGGTTGCTAACCTGGGATTGCGAGGCATCTGATTTGCGCGTCGCTTTCTTTAAAAAGAATGGATGTGTAGGTTTTGCCGGTTCGTCTTTAGCTGCAGGACGAGCAGGTGACTGACGTTTAACGGGAGGCCCGTATTTCGTCCGGCCACTAATGATGTCGTCAATGCGTTTCCCCAAGCTCTCCACGGTGTTATTTATGTTGGAATATTTGATGATCACGACTTTATGCTTGTTGCCCTCATCTTTCCGAGGCCCTGGTTTGCCGCGCCCCTTATCCTTCTTTATAGACTTGTCCGACTTATCCGCGACAGGCGAGCTCAAAAGCTTTCCGTTGGGGTTCAATCGGATGGTTTTCTGTCGTGGAGACCTCCTAGGAGTCGCTTTATTAAGCGCAGAATCATCCGTTGCATGCGAGCTATCTTGAGGACTCGCGACTTCGGGCGAAGGAGTTGAAGGAAGAGCGCTAGCTCCAGTTTCGGTCACATTAGGGACATCATCTTCGGCGGGTGTAGGTATACCATCGACCGGAGTGCTTTCACCGTTGGAAGTTGATGAGGGGCCTTTGGCCGTGATGTAGTTGACTATGGAACCCTCCGAGTGACTGACATCGTTGGACTTATCAGTCTTGCGCCTTTTCCTGCGGGATGCATTGGGATCATGCTCGAGCATCGCGACGGGTCTGTGTTCCGGGGAAGGTAATTCATAGAATACGGGGTAGGGTGAGATATATTCGCTTGTTGATTGTTTATTTAGGGACAATGGGCTGCCATTGTGCAGGAGGTCATTTGAAGGGAGTAAACCGTCTCCTGGGATGCTCTGAGGGGTAGTGTTGGTTGGTACTCCTAGGTCTATTGTGTATGAGTATATTGGAATGCAGCGATGGGGGAGTGAAATGACCTCTTCGAAAAAAAGGGTGAATCGCTCGTTGCTCTTCCTGTCCCATCGCCATAGGTCACGGCGATGTGTCAATTTGATGAGCTGACGCTCATCGCTCGATAACGGTCAGATTGAACAGAAATTGTACATGCAGGATAAATATAAAAAGCAAGCTAAGGAAGAATGTACTAGGAATCATGAATAAGTCAATGGTAATATGGGCGTACAGCAGTTGAGACTGAGATAGGCATAATTAAAGCACGAGATTGAATGCACCAAAAGAACGCGAAGAAGCGCGTATTCCCGCGCGGCCACTCTCTCCGCCTGTACGTCATTTACTGTACCTTAAGTGTAACGGAGGTACATTGTAATTTTTAAGCTAGCCTCTTTCGGACTAGCATCGAGAACCATCGGAACAACATAGGACCGGAAATTTTTCAGGATGCATCGAAATGAATTTCTTCAAGAGACTACACTTGCTCAGCATTTCAGCGGCAACGGTCGCGCACGTTAAAATTTGATATCTGTTGCCATGGATCTGCAGCAGCCATCGGTATTGGCCCAATTGCCTCGCCCCTTGCACGCATCCAAGGGCAAAACCCATATCGGTGAAGTCTATAGCCTCTCCGACTCTAAAAAGCGCAAAAGATATGAAGTTGCTGTCGCGGTCGATGGAGAGGCCGTGAACATCTACAATGTAGGCTTGGCTGGCTTTGTTGTGTCCTGTGTAATCAATGCTAAGTGTTTTGACATTAGATACAAACTCCGAAGCTGGTAACCTCCTACGCTGTTCCTCCGCAATCCACATTTTCGTGTGAGCCATGCTCGGTGCGCAGAAAGCTTTCGGACAAATCGGTCGTGAAAAGACAGACCTATGTTGCGGTCAACCCTCAGAAAGAGATCAAGTGCTTTGTTGAAGAAAGCGGCGGAAACGGATCGAGCGCGCCTGTCATCTCTTCCTCGTCTTTCTCCGTGAAAGATTCTAGCAGTCCAACGGTTTTCATCGGCATCGTCCCGACAGGATCTAGCGAGGAGGAGGAAAAGAATCCATTCGATATCGTGACAGTTCAACAAGATGGTCGTGTCCGGAGACTGGCAGCGGACCTGGACAAGCAGCACTGGAGTCTCCAGCACAGTGAGCTCGCGAAGATCTCATCGTCTCATGCTGTTCAAGCTTGCTTCCTCGTTGAGTTTGAAGACGCCAAGAAAGCCCTGCTCAAGAGAAGACAGGATCTTGCCGCTTTGGCTTTGGGGGATCTGGTAGACTCTAACGTGGATGAACCTTCAGTGCTGTTGCTCGTTTCGCATCCAACTGGTTCTAAGGAGATCAAACTGAGCGATGTCAAGGTCCATATGTTCTCCGTACCTGCCAAGATTCCTTCTCAGGAAAGAAGCCTTGACGAGAGTCAGAAAATGAAGCATCTTTTGACTTTCAGCATTCCAGATATCGAAGGACAAGAGTTATTTGAAAGCAGTGGCTTGGAATGGGATTTCCATACCGGATCGGCAGGGCTGAATCTATCTTTCGCCAAGGGATTCGTCAACTTCGACCTTTCTCAGTACAAACCGACAGTGACTTCGCAGTTTATTCTGGAAAATGAAGATTTCTCTTCTTTGATGCGCATATCCCCCCAGTCAGTCATTGGTGCTGGGAATTCGATCGTCGCATTGTTTGATACCCAATATAAATCCATCCAGCGCAGCATCGCCATTGACGACATCCACGGAAGTAACAGCTCCAAGGCACGGACAAAGTTTATCAGTTACTATGCAAAGCTGGGAATTGCTGTAGCTACCAAGGGAAACACACTATTTGCGTTCGACCTGAGCTCGTCCAACTCGCTTTCGAGTTCCTCTCTTAAGCGGTCGAGAGACAGTCTTCTGATTGACGCAATTGGACGCGGTATCGGATCATCCACCTCTCAGTGGGATGTAACTTCAAAGAAGCCACGGACTGACCAATTGACGTCGTTGGGCCTCACCTCGAAGGAGCAGGTCAGTCGGTGGAACGACCTGGTCACTGACTTGCGCGCGGCCTCGAAATCGAAAAACGGCGGCGCCTTCGACAGTGCCGTGCAGACGTACTTCGAGGCCAGTAACGTTGATGCTCTGCCAAAACAGTACGTCAATCCAGAAGTCATGCTGTTCCTGCTCTCTTGCATCTTCTCTTTGAAGGATGCCATGAACAAGGACCAATTGTCCGTCTCTTCGTCGTCACAGCTGTCCATTGACGTTTGGCCCGAGCACACATGCCAATGGCTTACTCAACTGGGCCATCTGTCTCTCGACAACGTCGAAATTGCCCTACGCCGATCACTCAAGCCCCGTATCCTGGCGGCATTGCCAACCGGATCATTCGTGCAAGCTCTCATAGATGCGGACCCCACCCTCAAGCGCCTTATCGACATCCTCCAAGGCCCTGTCACATTCAGCTCCGATGAATTAGCTTACACGCTCAAATTCTTCCTCAACATGGCGCGCTCCCGCTCCGCAGCTCTCGAAGAGACACCCCAGGCCATAACCTCCGGCGAAGAGAACAGCACCGAGGCCATCCAGAACCCCGAAGCCACACTCCAGGACATCTTCCGCGGGCTAAACACCACCCTCCGGAAGATCCACATCCATCCCCTCCCAACAATCACCACCTCCATCCGCTCCACCCTCTCCAGAACCGAGATCATCGCCATGGTCCACCACCTCCGCCTCTCCCTCGCAACAGGCGGGTACGCATCCCGCTTCACCGAAAACCCCCCAACCCCAATCTGCCCCGACCAAACTACCCCCTCCCTCACCCTCAACACAATCACAGACCTTCTCAACGTCTCTATCGACGCCGTAGGCCCATCCGGCTGGATCTCCGCCACTGCTTTCGACGACACCCCCACCCGCGAAATGGACCTCATCGCAGACATGAAATCCGAAATCTCTGCCGCCCTGGCCGGTGTCGAAGAAGCCTCCTACCTGAAAGGCGTCCTCGGCGAATACCTCCGGTACACAGATAGCGTCGCCAAGTCCGCCAAATCCGCCGCCTCTAAGAAACCCAAGGATAGCGACGAACCCATGTCCTCGCTGGTGCGCTTCGAGAAACTCAACGGCGCAGACGTGATGGTCTTCCGGTCCGCGGAGGAAGAAGGCTTTGAAGGCGACGCAAGCGGCAAGATGCTCCCGTTGTCGTTGAAGGCTGCGTCGACGGAAGTCGGCAGAACGAAGGTGAAGAGGTCGACGGGCGAGGTGCAAAAGAGGAGTAATCGTGAGATTGGATACCTGCGTCGGAAGGCTGTTGGGAAATACTCGTTCGAGAGACTTATTGTATAGATATCATTATCATACATATACTGTTCCATCGTTGCAACTACCTTTTTTCAAAAAAGAAAGTAAATGTGAAAGAAAGTCTGGTTGAATTGGGTGTTTTCACTGTAGATAGATAATATAGTGATTGTCACGATTATGACCTTGTTCGACGTCTCCCTTACCTTTAACTCGAGTGTAAACCTTGCACCATATTTTTATATATATTTGGTCTTCTATAATCTCGTTTTATATAGATTACTTCCCGCTATATAGAATAACCCACGACTACTATACACCTATCCAAGGGTCTTTCAAATCACAACAGCGTCTGACTTAATATAGCACCTAACACTGTGGCAACTCAACATCATGCTGGCTGATGTTTTGGTTTTGCTCAGTACAGGTGCGTATCAGGTATCCTCTCTTCCGAGGAGAAGAGTTGTTACAGTGATGAGTGTCTTCCTCATAGAATGATTATCATTGTATGTAGCCCGATGTATAGGAAAGATAGAACTCCTTGACATGCAGATCGGATAATCTTGGTTGCACCGGCCTACGGTGTACCGATAATTGGTGACCCAGGATGGAGTTTCCCAATAATACATAGGAAGATGAGTTAGGTTTCGCTGGGCATTATGGTGGCGATTTGGTTCCATGTCGAAGTGATATCTGGCAATAGCTAGGAGGATATTTGGTTACGCCTCATCTTTACTCAACAGGTAGTATGCCTATTGTTACCCGGTTTAATATAGCGTCGTGCGCTTGTGAGAGAGAAGTGGGCGTCAGGTCTATGTCACTCACATTGATCATTTAGATATCAGAACGCGCTTTGATTCAATATGTACATCATTTATGTATGGCTATATATGCACAAAGATGGGATAGATCGAGGCAATCGCCAGCATACTTTAGCTTTCTTTTTTCATGCTGTGAAATCATCTCATCAAAACTGGCCTGGGTATCGTGAATATCTCGGTCCTTCACTTCTCACATGGGTGGCCCCGATGGCTTCAATCATTCGTGTAACATGGTGCAAAATACATGGAAATAGCATTTCAATCATCACAGCCGGGCAGAAACGCAGTCAAAATGGATATAACACAAGGTAATCCGCACGTTGCATGACACAGGAAACAGTCGTCCATGGCAGACACCGGAAAGAGCCAGCGTTGTCACACGTTAAGGATGACTGGAATGGCATCGAGTCGCACAAAACCGGTGTACAACCCCACTGACCGGTTAAAGAGGTGCAGCTCAACCTCGTAGGATATGCTCGGATATCACTTCGCGTATTGTCGTAACAGCGTGTATCGAATGCTCTCATAGGAAAGGGATAATAATCAAAAGGGAAGGAAAGAAGAAACACAGTGTCCACTCGAACAAAAACAGAACTCCACAAAATCGATCATCGTAAAACACCGAACAAATATGCGTCATAAGGAACATGCATGGTAAGGCCCGGATAGTAAACCGCAAATAGAACTCAAAAAGGCTAGTGTAACAGAATCAACTCAACTGAATGCTAGGCGATCACATGAGGTTTTGTCTAAACAGCACGAAGCCACCAGCTTCCCAATCAAGACAACTTCGTCTTACTGCACTGAAACGGAGACGAGGGAAATAAAGTAAGTGAACAAGGCCACGTAACCCTATACAAGGCTGTGAAACCTCAGCAGCAGGTAGATACAAAAGGGAGTAGAAGAATGATGGGCCACTCAAGCCGGTGGATTTAATCCGTTCTCATGGCCGAATTTTCAGCGCGTTCCTTCAGTCGCATAGCTTGCGCTTCGAGAGATCGGGCCATGAGCTTCGTGACTGGCCGACAGTTAGTTTGGCCTGAACCACGCGAGTCGTAAAGGAAGAAATTCAACTCACCTGGCCAGACAGCAGCCCTGTCCAGAAGGCTTGCCGTGGCAATCAGAATCTTACAACCATATCCTCCTTCCACAACGCTAGGCAGCCGTTGTAAGACGCTTAGGGTAGATACAGTCGCACTGGTTT